GACTGCTGCTACCAGGACAGCATGAAGGTATCTTAGTTACGACAACCTCTTCACGCATGATTTAATGTGCGGATGAATATCATTTTAGAGATAACGTGATAAGTTCATGATTGTTAGTCTCGTTTTAGGGCTTGGGAAAGTTTCTTGTTTGTGTTATTGATTATTCTTTTGTCTATGGTTATGCATTTATGCTTCTTTAAAGATTTGTGGTTTATCCAAACTTGGCAAATTATTATAACTATACAATTTAGATTTACTGACACAAGAATGGAACTTGGGTATATGTGGAAATTGGATACCTAAGTGTTAAACGTATTGCAAGAACATGTATTTAGTGATTTCATTGTTGTATTTTGCAGGAATTATCCCACACAGTTGTCGAATCTCTCTTCACTTTCTAATGATGGTCCACGACAGCGTCACAATAAAAGAACCAACATGAGTTAAACGGATATCTCCTTTGTTTCATCATTGAATTGCAACAACGTGTTTAAACAAGAACTCACATAAATCCTTTGAGTCCGTATTCCATCACAATTGGTATTACTGGAGAAATAAGGTTAGGGAGTCTTTTGTTTTATTTAACCATTTTAATGCAGTGCACTATGTTCAGATGTTAAGTTTCCATTTGAGCCAAACTACTGCTATAAATTTTACTAAGCTGGCCAGCCATTAGCGGAATACAAAAGAAACAAAAATGTAAAGGGACAAAGGGCATGAAGAGGAAAGACTGCTGTTGGAGTGTAAAGTTAATTTCTATCTTGCAGAGTGTCAGGGCTGTCCAGCTGATTAAATTTTGTATCAGTCTAGCAAACATTATGCAGACAAATTTCTCATTTATAATCCATAGATATGTACTGGTATGATTTTTTTCAGTGGGATGTTCTAAATTTATATACATTTCAATACTGTCTACTATTCAGCAAGTTGTTGCAGTATATAGAGAACCTGGGTGAAAAATCATGTTCAGTATACATTTTTACCCTGACACGAATTGATCTGAAAAGAAGAGGGGAAAATAAATGTTGTATGTTTTCTTAGATGTATTGCAGTTTACTGGATAATGACTACTTACATTTTCTGTTTGTGCCCTTGTTAAGGTTTTTTTTTTTTTTTAAAGAAGTAAATAATTCTGCTTTACAAGTTATAACTTGAAAAGCGGAATTATTTTCTTTTTTATTATTTTTTTATTTTATTTAAAAAAAAACAAAAATAAAAATGAAGAAAAAAAATGACAATGGCTGACCTAAAAAGGTGACCTTACCCCCCCCCCCCCCCCAACGGAGCAAAATTTCAATACGAATAATAGACCTAAACAGGATTACTTTACAGTAAAACAATCACCATAACATGTTTCGATCTTGGCGCAAGGGGTTCCATGTGGCTAAACTCTCTTCAAATAATTATGAGCTTCCAAAATTAATATTACAACATAAATGCTTTCTCAGTGAACAGTAAAATGTCTTGTTGAGGAGACTACCAATACTTTTTTTTTAGGCGTGGTTTTGTTAGTTTCAGTATTTTTTATTTCTTTAAATAATTGATAACAAACATTGTATGATTCAAATGGTGTTATTTGAAAAAGATATGTGTTTAATTCAATATTTCACATGTATATGTACAATTTGTTATTATTTCATTACTATACTTATGTTTGTATACTGTTATTGTATTATGCAGGGCTACCTTGAAAAGCAGGTCCACTACCAGTCCTCCAGGGGAACTGAATAAAATTACCTTGTTGAAAAAAAATCATGAATAAATAAATAAATATTACTTTAAGCCCCACTGTACTACTTGTAGCTACTTGCTACTTGGGTTTAGTGCGAGCCCTATATACACAGGGTTTTATGTTATCCCAGGGGTCTCAGGCATGTAGAAATACTGTAAGCATCATGACCACAGGTTTTCCGGACACGTACCTCCTAAACAAGGATTTCTTCTCAAGCCAAAATACACACTCTTAATAGCTTTTTTACAAAAGTTTACTCCCAAACAAGTATTGCAAACTTGTAACCACTCACGTGAGCGTTTTGAAGTGCGATAGGTATTACCATTTAAGTTGTTGACAATCATGGTAAATAAATCAAACTGCACTTTTTATGTAAAAATCAAAATATAACGAGATGGAACTTCGACTGCACGCAGTCGAAAATGATGCCTCCGTCATAAAGCAATTTTACAAACCAAAACAGAAGTAATTTTTTAAATTCAAGTTAAATTGTAATCCATTAACAGGTTCTCAGAATGTTATGATTACAAGCAATTTTTCATATACATATATGACCCATTGATCTTTGACCTCATGACCCTAAAATCTACTCAGTTCATTCGCCCTGCAAGATGTCCTGAGTTAAATAGTAATCCATCTGTCAGTTCTAATGAGAATGCGTTCACAAGCTATTTTTGCATACACAATGAGCCCATGACCTTTGACCTTGACCTCATGACCCCCAAATCTAATCAGTTCATTGGCTCTGCAAGATACATACATGATCTAAGTTTGGCAGGAATCCATCAATCGGTTCTAATGATAATGCGATCACAAGCTATTTTTGCATACATAATGAGCCGCATAACCTTTGACCTTGACCTCATGACCCCCAAATCTAATCAGTTCATTGGCTCTGCAAGTAACATACACGACCTAAGTTTGGTAGGAATCCATCAATCGGTTCTTCAGATAACGCGATCACGAGAACGGGACGTACGGACGTACGTACTTACGGACGGAAGGACAACCCGAAAACATAATGCCTCCGGCTACTTCGTAATGGAGGCATAAAAATGTATTTCAATAGAGAAGCAATAACATCAACCTGTACACTTCCAAATGGGTTTAATACACAGCCATCAGCCCATCATAAGTCCTTTCTTTGAAAAAAAGAAGTACATTTCAAATTTGGTCTATAATATATGAATACGTACATGTAGTGTATACAAAAAGTACACAATACACAATGAAAAGCTACTATTCTACTATTCAAAACAAAATATAAATGTATAGCCCGGTAATAACTGAGGAACACATGTACAAAGTTACCGGTAGGCAAGTAGCAAGTTGGAGTCGGGGTCTAGAAAAATATACCTAAACGCATACAGCAGGATTTTGAAAAAGTACACTTTTTCTTGAAAATGGACGTTTTTTAAACCCCTTAATTAAACCCCGTTTCATAAAACGTTTTCCTAACGTTTTTTTATAATACTAGTTTATTAGGGAAAATGAGTATGGTACGTAATACCCGTCACTCAAAGATGATTATTTTTTTGAGGCACTTCTCGATCACTTTGAAGCCCAATAATTTTAGGGCATCAATTTCACATATCACAGACACTGTTAACGCTTAGGGCCATGCATCTCAGATTTAACATTGTTAAACGATGCTTTTAAAGGTAATTCAAAGTTTTCGTATGGGGTCATGAATTTGGTTCAAATGAACATATTGGAAGTATATGCGACCCTACAATATCCAGTCATCGTTGTCGCGGTTGAAATCGAGTCTAAAGTTATGAAATTGTAAATAGTAAACTCTTTATGTTTTATAGCTCCCTCTCAAGGTCAAGATATTAATTAAGCTGTAAAACAATGTTTCTTGACTAAAATCGACCGATTAGCTATTCCTGTTTGGAAATTATATATCACAACTACATATTCTGAGATTTTCATGGAAAAGTGTTTTAGGGGCCAAATTTTCTAGTGCTTATAATACATCCACAGGGGAATCCAAATACATCAAAATTGTAAAGAATCACTATCCACCCAACTTTCAAAATTTCCCCAAACTATGTACCTTTGTATAACCTTTTCAGAGAAACCCTTTCTTACAGTGTGAACTGTGTCTTTGTACGTGCTCAATGGGATTGCTTTTCTGATAAAAATCTTTTCTCACATTGGGTGCATTTATATGGCTTTTCTACTGTATGTGTTACTATATATGACAATTGAGTACACTTTTCATAGAAAATGTTTTCCTACGGTGTGAATATTCATATGGTTTTTCTCCTCTATGTATAGTCATAGTGAGATAAGAATTAACTTTTCTGATAAAATTCTTTCTTACAATAGCAACATTCATATGGCTTTTCTCATCTGTGTGTTAGTATGTGACGATTGAGTTTACTTTTTTGAGAAAATCCTTTATTACGATATCAACATTCATCAGGCTTTTCTCCTGTGTGTGTGTTAGTATATGACGATTGAGTGCATTTTTCCGAGAAAATCCTTTCTTACAATAGCAACATTTATTATGGCTATTCTCCTGTGTGTGTTAGGAGGTGTAGGGTGAGATGGCTCTTCTGAGATGGCTTTTCTGAGATGGCTTTTCTGTGTGTTAGTACGTGACGATTGAGTTTACTTTTCTGAGAAAACCCTTTGTTACAGTATGAACATTGATACGGCTTTTCTCCCGTATGTGTTAGTAGATGACAATTGAGTACGCTCTTCTGAGAAAATCTTTTCTTACAATGGCAACATTCATATGGCTTTTCTCCTGTGTGTTTTCGGAGATGACGGTGAAAAGTACTTTTCTGAGAAAATCCTTTCTTACAGTGTGAACATTGGTATGGCTTCTCTCCTGTGTGTGTTAGTAAATGAATATTGAGTGCTTTTTTCTAAGAGAATCCTTTCTTACAATAGCAATATTCATATGGCTTTTATCCTGTATGTGTTAGTAGATGACGATTGAGTACACTTTTCCGTGAAAATCATTTCTTACAATAGTGTTACGGCCCTCCATCTTAGAACGGGTCCTGGATGCTGGAGGGCTGGCCTGTCCCTTGCCTCTATCACCGTCATCTGACGCCGAATTTGCCATCCTGAATAATGCGAGCGGTTTCTATTTGGCTTGTAGTTTAGAGGCCCGGACGTGGCTCCGTTTTCCCAAAGTATATGAGTGTGGGGATGAGAGGTGTTTTGGATAGCTGGACGTGTATTCTCTATGAGAGGGTTATATTACATCAGCCTATGGAGACTCAATAATTACACGTTATGAAACGATGGATTGTTTAACTGTATACTTTATTAATACAAACATAAGTCAACTTCTCCAACACGTTATCATAGTTCACACTGACACCAATTACCTGGATTAATCTCAACAAGTAGTAAAGGTAGGGATTGCCTTTTGTAGGAACTCTATTTCTCGCTTCCAATCCTTTCCCTTATTTTAGCTCTGTTGGAGCAAAGCGGAGAGTTCGCTATCTGACCAAGACGAGAGCCAGCGTCGAAGTGACGAAATTATCGTGAAATACTGGTATTTATAGCCTCTGAAACGCTCTGAGAGCTGCTTTACGCATGGTGCGTCCGTAATCGCGCTCTGAGCCCTTACGCCCCAAAAGCTTACTGCGCCCTCTACGTTTTCTGCAAGATAACCTAAATTGTGGCGAACTGGTTCGTTACACAGCCCCCCTCTTCAAGGAATGTGTCCTCACATTGTCATCCTCACATTAATACTAGGGAATTCCAAAAATATTTACAATTACTAAAACGTATTGAATTATGCATCGCTGTATTAAACATACTGAGAGTTACGTACGTCCTCTTTAAGATTACTGCTGATATGCATATAACAATCAAGCTCTCTATATCTTCCATAATCTCTTTCTATGAAGCTCTCATATAAAAACATGTTCATTCTATGGACATTAATTCTGAATATTACCATTACAGCGAGTGCTTTCTATGCCAATTATGTTCATGAATGTTTGTGCATTATGACACATCCTTGAATTTTCCAAAAGATAATGGTGTGGTGTTTTACAAACAAATGAATAGCTTACACTACGACATAAAAATGATTTTAAAAAAGTAGATACATGTATGGATTTAAACAATGAGGATGCCTATTGTTTTCCTCCTGAAAGATGTTGTCTTATTAACAGTTCATCTTTGTTTTTACAGTTAGTTCGTTTCCTGTCCTTCTAGGCATCACTTGGCTCATTGTTCTTTCTCTTCTCTTCTCTGGTAATACGAGTGTATACTGTTCCATCCGGCAGGTGCAGTGACTCGTATTGGTAGGTGATCTTCATCCCTGGCGGAATGATGTGTCTTGTTTTCTGCGTCACCTTACATCCGCCTCCAGCTTGACGCAGGCTTCTAGCGGCTTGGAACAGTTGATCACCATCTGTTTCTTCCTCCGTCTCAGTGGCGACGTCTTTCCTGTAATAAGGCTCTCTCGTCCTGCAGGTACAGTCTGCATCTCCGTAGTTACAATGCGGAAGCAGGTTGTGGTCTTGCCTTCATGGCGACACTGAACTGATCCCCATTCGGTCTCTAGAGTAGCCGTCTCCAAGTCAAGCTTCGCTCCTAACAACAGAAGATTGTCCATGCCCAAGACTCCATCGCCGCATACATCAGCGATAATCAAAGTGACCCTTGCCTTTCCCTGGCCTATTGTCACTTCAGTGTGGATCTTGCCGTCCACCTTCATATTTGAGCCGTTTGCAAGCATTATTCTCTCTGTAGAAGGTTCAATAGAAGGCTGCTCTATCAGTTTCACATATCCTGCTTTGGAGATGTATCTGTAGCCCCAGTGTCTACAAGAAAATGTAACTGTTGCCCGGCGATGATAACTGGTATATACATGCCCTGTAATTTCCCTTGGTGCATCTCTCTATTGTGCTTAGAGGTGCCTATTGGTTCTGTGGTATTTGTTGTTGAGAGGCTGTCAGATTTTGCTGCATTGGCCGCACCATGCACGTCCCCCTAGGGTAGCCTTTCCTCGTTTAGAGGTGCCTATTGGTTCTGTGGTATTTGTTGTTGAGAGGCTGTCAGGTTTTGCTGCATTGGCCGCACCATGCACGTCCCCCTGGGGTAGCCTTTCCTCGTTTGTTGAGACCTGTTGTTGCTGTTGTTCAGTTTGCCTTTGAGCCTCACCCTTGAGCCTTTTCCTGCACTTTTTCTTGATGTTCCCCTTCTTTCCAAAGTAGAAGCAACAACCATCAGATACAGCTGATTTCTCCCGTTGTTGCTTTCTATCAGAGTGAGCGGTTTGTTGAGACGCCTGAAAAGCGCCCTTTAATGCCGCCACCAATCCTACAATTTCCTCTTTCAGGCTGATCAGGGTGTTCCTCACTTCAGAGGTTGGGTCGGCTGGCTGTTGATTCATTTCCTCTTCCTTTGTCATACCCCTACTGTACTTTGGGGTCCTTCCAGTGCCCATCCTCTGATCTTCAGACTTGTGAAATGCCTCAGCTACTACAGCTACATGAATCACCTCGTCTAGTGTCTTACCCTGAGAATTGAATATGGCCTCTCTGAGCTTGGGTTTCGTTAGAGCATCCATGAAATGCCCTTTCCCCTCTCAAACATGATGCTAGAATCTTTCCTGCTTCTTCATCATTCCAGCCATTCACTGCACGGCAGGATTTAAAGTGTTCGCAGTAGTCAATCCATGAGGTAGACCCATCATATTTGTCAGGCGTAATTATAGAGATGCCTCTATTCCTTGGTATAGCTGCATGCAATGACTCATCCTTCCGATGTAGCCCCTTTATCCGTTGCTCTTTACTTACTTTCACTGCCTTGCTTGACAGTGAAGAAGTCTGGATCCCTTCTGTATTCGAGGATTCTTCTTGTGACTTTAGTTGTATTTCATCCGAACTTGACATCACATTACTGGGCATTTGCGTGTTGATACGCCTTTTAGGTTTCTTCTGCTTCGACCTTTCTTCGGTAGCCTTTATGTTTGAGAACCTTTGTAATAGCTCCTCAATCCTTGCATTAATTGCCGATATCTGCTGCCTCATTTCGGCAATTTCCGTCAAAGCCGTCGCCTTCTGCTTTTTCCGTGAAAATCCTTTCTTACAATTGCAACATTCATATGGCATTTTTCCTGTATGTGTTAGGTGTTGGGTGAGATTGCTTTTCAAAGAAAACCCTTTCTTACATTGTGAACATTCATATGGCTTTTCTCCTGTATGTGTTCGGAGATGACGTTTAAGATTATTTTTCAGAGAAAATGCTTTTTTACAATAGCAACATTCATATGACTTTTCTCTTGTATGTGCTAGTAGATGACAATTAAGGAGGCTTTTCTGGGAAAATCCTTTCTTACAATAGCAACATTTATTTGGCTTTTCTCCCGTATGTATTAGTATATGTTGATTGAGTACACTTTTCTGAGAGAATCCTTTTTTACGATAGCAACATTCATATGGCTTTTCTCCTGCATGTGATCTCAAGTGGAGAAGGGGATGACGGGCCTGACATGATCTCTTACTGCAACATGGACACTGATGTAGCTGTTCTCCAAAATGTATCCTTAGGTGAATGTTGGATCGATCTGTTGTGTGAAACACCTTGCCGCAATGTGAGCAAAGATGAGATTTACCTCCACTGTTGATTGACGTTCCACGATATACCGTCTCTTGTCCGTTGTTAACAATATCACCTGGTGGCGAGAAAGAGAAAGCTCATGGCATCGAAACCTCAGATACAGTGTAAGAAATTACATGAGTGTCCTGTCACTTCAAATTGAGACAGAAGTTTTTGGATTATGTTCTGAACTTCCGAGAGAAAGATGAATATGCCAAAATGGATTCAATTTATGGGTTCAAGCATGTAGGCCATCGAATTGGTCAAATGACACCACATGACAATGCATCTTTGTTTCCAACCATGCCTACCCTGCAAAAAAAGTTCCCAAAAAATTCTTGTACTACCATATGGTTCCATCTACATGTATAATTATGCTAGAAACAGATCACATGTTATTGCCCCCTACTCACCTTTTTAAGTAGTGGAGGGCCAAAGTCAAATATCATGCTTGGTTTTTTGAGCTGGTTGCCACTACCAGTATACCACATAAACTAGAAATATCGCAATCTGTATTGGTGCTCAATGCGAATGTATCCCCCTGCAGTGACAGCGAATTTGTGCCATCCTTAAGTTCGAAGCCTAGGGGCAAAGACCCCCTATGGTCAAGACTAGGAGCAGCATCACCGAAATAATATGTGTGTACAAAAGACATCTACCACAATATTACCCTTGACCCTATAACAGACGAAACACAGGTGGCAGCATCAACAAACACTAAAGATTTGTAGATTGTACTCAGACACACCTCCATACCACATTCAAGAGAAATCCGTCAGGAAATGTGGCAGTTAGGGCGCATGAAAGACATATGACCTTTGAACATATAAAACATGGAATAATGAGGGCAGCATTGCCCAAAAGTGTTGATGTGTAGATTAGAGTATAATGCATCTTTGCAGAAAATTTGAAAGGAATCTGTCAAGACAAGTGACAGAGCGCATAAAAGATATGATCATTGACCATATATAAGAGACGGAACAATGAGGGCAGCACCGCCCCAAAGTAATAGGTGTGTAGACTGTAGTAAGAAACACCTCCATACAAAATTTGAAAGAAATCCGTCATGAAATATGACCTACAGAGCGCACACTAGACACCCACCAAAATATAACCTTTGACCCTATAAAACACGGAACACTAGTGGCAGCATCACCAAAAATAGTATAGAGACAAAGTGTTTACCAACATACATTTTCATACTCAATTTGAAAGAAATCTTGTCAAGAAATGATGCAGTTAGACCGCACGCAAGAGAGCGCACACAAGACATCTATCAAAATATGACCTTTGACCCTATCAAAGACGGAACACTGGAGGCAGCATCACCAAAAGTTATAGGCTTGTAGATTATACCAAGATACACCTTCATTGAAATTTTCAAAAAAAATCCCTTAAGAAATGTGGCCTATAGAGCGTTCACAAGAATATGACGGGGCGGACGGGGCGGACGCTGCAACAGCGTAACACTGCTCAATCCAAAGTACCCCACCGGCATACAACTAAGCACACCTTGTTTATTCAAAAGATTTTATAATAATACACAATATTTCAGAGTTTTTTTTTTTTTTAATTTGTAGTGGTCACCCCTAAATCCATTACGATAAGTGGATGCAAAATAGACAAAAGACAAATGGTAATTGGCAAGATGCACTTTTTTTCATATTACTTGTTTGCAAGAGTGGGCTAATGGAGCTCTCACACTCTGCCGTGTAGGCCTACCGTCCACCTGCCGGGCTATTAAAAAACAACAGAGTCCAGAACGTTGGGTTTTGAGCGAACTTGTCCCCGGCCGCAAAAAAAAATCATAAAATTAATCGTTTCGTTGCCATCTTCTGAGCGTTCTCACCGGCCGCATACCAGGTGTTGAACGTGCTTCTACCGTCTTCACCGCCCAGATTGACTTTTGTTGAAAATTTTGGCCGTTTACATACCGGGTCTCGAACGTGTGCACCGGGTTTGTAGCAGCCACCTACCAGTCACGTAGCGTCCCCTCACCGCTCGGAGCGATATGTGAGCGAGTCCCCGGACACGTCACGACTGCCATAATACCCCGATTTGAACGGCAACGTTCACAACCCGCTTACAACCCGTTGCAGACGGTGGATTTTTTTTTGCCCGTTCATCACCGTTCTTTAACGGGTTATGAGCGTGTTGTGAACGTGTTCATACAGTGTGACCGTTTTCATAACGTATTCATACCGTCCTCATACCGTTCAACACCGTCCTCTTGCCGCTTACTTGCGGCCGGTGCCAGCCGGCCAAAGTTTTGAACATGCCCAAAACTTTCGTCGGGTCCCACCGGGTGTAAATAAGCGCCAACGCCCTATTAACGTGTTGCCCGCTTTGATAACGAACCACCGTGTGCCCTCGCCGTTCTCCACCGTCCGCAGACATTTTCGCGCACGGTGGCACACGGTAAGTTTACACGGCAGAGTGTGAGAGTCACTTTAAGGACATGCTACAAGCTTAAGCTATGGTCAAACACCAAAAAGTAGACTGCTCGGCGGCCGGGGGGGGGGGGGGGCGAGTTTTGACCCAATTTTGCCCGGGCATCGACCGGCGACCGTGCAGCGACCGCCCGGGCACCCCTTGTTTTTAGGGCATCGCTCGGTCGCTGCTGAAGTTTAAGCGCGGAGTTAAAATTCCGGCGGCGGCTGCTAACTTTCACTCGCCGCCCAAACTACGCCTGGTGTCCGGGTGCCGACCTAATGAGCGCTCGCCATAGAGCGATTTAAGTCAATTAAGGCCGTCGAGCAGTCACCTCCCGGTCACCGCTGGGAGATCAGTCTGTCACTGGGAGGCGAGTCCAAAATTGGTCAGCACTCGGCAGCCTTTGATCTAGCGGCTTCGATTTTTGACCTAAATTGCTCGATTAGGTCGGTACCCGGCCGGCGAACGGCCCGGCACCGAGCATATTTTGATGCCCCACCGATCACCGGCCAATATCTTTAAAATCAGCCGGCGGCCGGTGGGAGACCGCTCGGGAATCGGTGGGTCATCAGTCGGTCAGTGACGGGACGCCGTACGTAGAAGCTCCCTGATTTCGCTCAGTCTTGGCCTAAAATTGACCAGCGATCGACAGGGCACCGCCCAGGCGTCGCTGGGATTCTACAGCCTGCTCGAGTTCTCCAAAGATTGTTGGGCGATGTCTAAATTCCAGCGACGACCAAGCAGGCTACTAATCGGTCAGTTGCCGCTCTGATTTGTGACCATAGCTTAAGCTATAAAGATGCCTGAAGTCTGACAATGAATGAGTTAACATCTGCATGAACTGAATTATATTTGTATCGGGTAATTGTAGTTTAACAAGAATTAATTCCTTATTTTTGCTTCAAAAGAGAGCGATTCGCATGATCACTAACTCACATTATATATCACACACGAAACCTTTATTTCAGCGTTTAAAAACATTACAAATACAAGATATTCACATTTTTCAGACATGCATTTTTATGTATAAATATTCTCATAATCAACTACCATCCCTATTCCACAATATTTACAGTTTAAACTCAAACATTCACACATACCCCACCCGTTGTTTAACAAATTATCACTTAGAAAATCCTAATTACTTTTAGCACAAAAATCAGTAAGACATCATGGACCAGATGTTTGGAACTCCTTACCAAATTTAATAAGGCATTGTTCATCTCTCTATTCTTTTAAAGCATCTCTAAAAAAAAACTCTTATATCGAAGTATCTACATAACTGATTTCAACATGCAGTAGGCAATTGACAAATTTTGGTCACATTGCAACCCAGTTTTGAAAATTTTGTTATCTATTTCGTATTCTTAGTTTCCTTTATTGTAAAGGCTATATTTGTTTCCAATCCACTATACCACACAGAGCTACGTGCACTTCCACTATTCGTTACAAACACATACAAACAAGCACGCTCGCGTGCACATGCACACACACACACACACATACACACACACACACAATATATATATATATATATACACTTGCACAACACACTCACAAACTCATACACAAAGATCATTTGAACACTTTCATTTTAAGGTTTACCTTAAGATTTTGTTTTGTTTTGTTTGTTTGTTTGTTTGTTTTTGTTTTTTGAGGCCACCATCCTTGTCAAGCTTTGCTTATGATTGCGGTCTAATGCACTTTTCCAATAGAAACGTTCGGATAATACTTTAAATTTATGATTATATGTTATGGAAATATTAAGTTTCGTTATCATATGTACATATATTATGTAAAAAAACATTTTTGACATGAAGAAATTATTGTTTGTTTATGTTGTATTATACCTTACATTTATATGTTCTTTGTTATTCAGTTATATTTTATATGGAAAAAATGCAGAAATAAAATCAAATCAGAATCAAATCAGAATTATATCAAAGGAAGCAGATTATGGTGATAGGTCCTGATCAGAACTCATTGATAAACATAATGATGACTACTGCGATAAATTGCTCTCAAATCGTTCTGTTATGAAAATGGAAAATGTATTTGAAATTTGTTGCAGATGTAAGTCAGACATTGACGATATATGCTAATGAGCCTGCCTCGACTATTTCATCTTGCTATTGGGTTTGCTCGACCAATGATTTTTTTTTTTGAAGCAAGCAGAAACGATAACATCTGTAACCCAATAATTGCACTTCTTTGAAGTGACGCAGTGACAACAGTGTTTGACTGACACAACTAACATTTTTCTGGTGAAAATTGGTGAGGTCTTACCACTAAATACATCTTGCAATATGCACATATACTTTATCGTTTATTCGTTATAATTATCAATGTAGTCTGACCAGGCCTTAAAAAACCTCATTGTATTAGAGATTAAACCTACCTTCTGATGTAGGATGTTCAGATTCCTCGTCTCCACCAGTACTTGACACAGGATTATGGGTTGTACTATCCATTTCATGACTGATTTTACCTGAAATAAATCATGTGTCGAATTATTTAAAATCAGTCTTTCTTCATTAAATGTTAGTGCAGTCCTTCAAGTTCCATCTGTACGTGTACAGGGAGATCACAGCAAACAAAACGCATTCATTGGTCCATTTCTACACTTACAAATACGGCAGTCACACCCTCAATGGAAAAGAATTAGTAAGTTTTAAATTGCTGTTGAGGCGATTTATTAACTATCTTTAGTATTCTTCATTCTGATGATCTGCAATGCACAATCACTTTGTGTTTAATAGCTGATAAAGTAGATAGTTGAAACCTCTTAAATGTCAAGGGACTAGAGACTGCTAGAAGATTTTGTTAGAAAACCAGGACAAGTGAATATGAATTATTCACATTGACTGTGTCTTGATACATATCATCAGTTAAATTCTCATCATTTTTAGCATCACTTAACAGATTGCTTCAAGAGAGCCCAAGGGGTCTTGCCAGTCATGTCCTAATTCTGAACGTCTGTAGTGTATTTACTTTACCATTTGTTTATTAAGACCACTTTTCTTGCCTCCCTTGAGCCGTTTCTGTTGAGCTCCTATTCGGCGTTGGCGAAGTATGTAAGGTCCAACTCTCTGCTTTTTGCATACTGTGTTCTGGGACTGATGGGGTAGTTTCATCTCTGGAGGTCTTACTTTCCATTTCTTACTTGTTAGTATGTCCTAGGGTTGTTTCTATGCACATATCTGTAGAATGCAGTGAACTCAAGGTCCTGCTCTGAACTTCTTGCTTGACATTATCTTCTGGGACTGACTGAACACCTTCTCGTGCACTCCTAGTCGTTGTTCTGAGAGGATTTGATGACCCTCTCTCTGCTACTTGCTTGACATTATCTTCTGGGACTGACTGGACACCTTCTGCTGCACTCCTATCCGTTGTTCTGAGAGGATTTGATGCCCCTCTCTCTGCTACTTGCTTGATCATTTCTTCTGGGACTAAATGGACACTTTCTGCTACACTTCTATATGTGGTTTGGTGATGATTAAGTGTCCCTCTCTACACTTCTTGCTTGACTTCTGGGAATGACTGAACAGTCTCTGCTGCCATCAGATCTGCAGGCTGCACTGAATTCAAAGTCCTCACATCTGCTTCTTGCTTTAAGCCTATATTCCCTAAAAATAGCGAGAAAACAAAGGTGTTTTACAGCATATTCTTGCAAAGGGAACAACATATGGAGATAATTAAGCAAACCTTTCCAGTGAGAAATCAATCATACTCTGAGCACTACCAATATATTGAAAATGTATAGGCCTAGTAGTAGAACGGAGTGGGAGAAGTAGTAGAAGTAGTGGAAGAAGTAGTAGAAGTAGTAGTACAATTATTAATAGTAGTAGAAGTAGTAGTAGTACAATTAGTAATAGTAGTAGTAGTAGCAGTAGTAGAAGTAATAGTAAAAGTAGTAGTAGTACAATTAGTAGTACAATTAGTAGTAGTACAGCATATTCTTGCAAAGGGAACAACATATGGAGATAATTAAGCAATGCTTTCTTGTAAGAAATCTATCGTACTCTGAGCACTACCAATATATTGAAAATGTATAGTAGTAGAACATAGTGGAAGAAGTAGTAGAAGTAGTACAATTAGTAGTAGTAGTAGTAGTAGTAGTAGTAGTAGAAGTAGTAGTAGTAGCAGTAGTAGTAAAAGTAGTAGTAATACAATTAGTAATAGTAGTAGTAGTAGTATTAGTAGTAGTAGTAAAAGTAGTAGTAGTACAATTAGTAATAGTAGTAGTAGTAGTAGTAGTAGTAGTAGTAAAAGTAGTAGTAGTAGTACAATTAGTAGTATTAGTTAGTAGTAGTAGTAGTAGTAGTGGTAGTGTTTTACCAGGGACATACACAGGTACACAAAAAAACCAGTCAAAAAGTTTTGATTTATGACCCTCCACCTGGCGCTCTGCCTGGCAATGTCTCCCAGCTCAGTAATTTGTGTGTTGATTTACCACTCGGAAACTAGAACACCACTTAAATTTGTCATCTTGGTTGAAAGTAATTTTTCTAATAGATCTCAATATATAGTTTATAATAATAATTCCTCCAATTTTTCTTCTATTCATGTTCATATTCATATTCATATTTATTTCATTTCCAACAGAAAGGTAAACAAAGATATTACTTCTTTTTTTTTCATAAATAATTCATTTTGTCAGGAAACTATACAAATAAACTTTGCACATAATAAAATTATTACAAGAAATTCTAAATTTCTGAGGAAATGGGGGGGGGGGGGTCCACTAAAAAGCAGTGCTTGTAGTTTGTGGATCCCCAGGAAAAACTTTAATTGTTTCAAATTTTGCCTACGAAGACTTACAAAACACAAGACAATATTACAACACAACAGACAACCACGAAAAGAACAAGGAGAAATAAAACAAATAACAAGGAAAAGGGAAAGGGGGAAGAAGAAAGAAAGAAGCAGGGCAAATCATGACCAGAAAAAAAGGTAGTTATAATGTTAATTTTGGGAAGGTAAGATCATAAGACCAAATAAATATTAAATTAATCGAGCAGATGATGAAGACCTAAATGAAAAATTAAGATGATTACCAACCGTTATCAGATTATTCTTGTATATTACTATAAGATTTGAGCAAAAATGTTTTTAGATTTTTCTTGAAAGAATTTAGGGATGGACTATTTTTAATACCTTCACTTAGAGAATTCCAAAATCTAGGACCATCATACATAAAAGACTTCTTCGCTAATAAAGTTTTAAAGAAAGGTAGGTGAGACTCGATTGACCATCTAGTTGGGTAATCATGAAATGACCGATATAGGGGGAACAAGGCATCAAATATATGTGGAAGGGTATTTTTTGAATACTTATAAATAAATTGTCCTAAGTGAAGTAGATACAGGTCATTTGTTTTGAATAGTCTGCCATTAACAAATAACGGGTCTGTGTGTGAGAGTGGAGCAGAATGGTAAATAATACGGAGAGACTTCTTTTATAATAACAGTCTATTTAGTAGAGTTTGCTGTGTGTTGCCCCAAGCAAGTATCCCATAATTCAGATATGGTAAAATTAAAGATGAATAAAGCATGAGTAGGGATGATGTCGGAAAATGAAATTTAAGTTTGTTTATTATGCCAATATTCTGTGAAATGATCTTACATGTATTATCTATATAGTATTCCCCCCGAAAGTTTGTTATCAACAGTTATGCCTAAAAATGTAATGAATGAAACAACTTCCAAGAAGGTATCGTCAAAAATGATATTCTTGGGCAGTGTGTCCATAGAATTACTAAATAACATATATTTGTTTTTTGGGAGGTTAAGGGATAGTTTGTTTGCTTTTATCCATTGGGTGACTTTTTCAAGTTCAGAATTCACAACATTGACAAGAGTATTATGATTTCTATGGGAATAAAATAAACTAGAATCGTCTGCAAAAAGTATAAATGAAAGGACATCGGATGATTTACAACAGTCATTTATATAAATAATAGACAAAAAAGGGCCCAACAAACTTCCCTGCGATACTCAACAATTTACGTTTTGCATATTGGAAGTACATGTATGATCATTCAAGAATACATGTTGTCGTCTATTGGATAAGTAACTCCTGAACAACTCCAAGGCCTTCCTACGCACTCCTAATGAAGAAGTTTGAATAATAAGATGTCATGATTGAGTGTGTCGAAGGCCTTGGAGAAGTCCAGGAAGATACCAACCAGGGGCGGGTTCCTAGAAACCGTCATAAGTCTAACTTCTTGACTATCCCATTGAAACGTGTGTTATAGAATTAACACGGGTTTCAATGGTATAGTCAAGAAGTTAGACTTATGACGGTTTCTAGGAACCCGCCCCAGATGAGAGCAATTGTCTAAAGCATGCTCTACTTTGTCAATAAAATTCTATAAGGCATGTTCTGTATTACGTTTTTCTCTAAATCCAAACTGAAAGTTTGCAAAAATACTATGAGTTTTTAAAAAGTAAACAGTTCTACAATAAATAACTTTTTCTAGAATTTTCGACAAGGAGGATAATAAAGAGATCGGTCGATAATTACCGACATTCAACTTATCACCTTTTTTGTATAGGGGTATGACTTTTGCGATTTTCATATTATCTGGGACTTGTCCATTAATTAACGATAGATTAAGAATGTGTACTAAAGGATTTACAATTGAAGATATTACACCTTTTAGAATAAAATTATTAATATCAACATAGCCGGGACTCTTTTTGTTATTCAAATTAGATACAATATCAATGATATCTTCTTGAACTATAGGAGTGAGAAAAAAAAGTATTGGGGTTGGGTGTGCCTAGGTAATCAGAGAAATGTTTGGCTGAAGGAGGAATACCTTCAGCCAAGTTTGTCCCTATAGAGGAAAAAAAGTTGTGAAAGTATTGGCTATGTTTTCAGGATCTTCGACAATATCATCATTATACCTAATTTTAGTTATATCTGATTTGTTTAATGGATAAATTCATTGCTTGTTTTAAAATCTTCCATGTGTTTTGAATATCGTTCTTATATAAAGTTAACTGGTTCGTAAAGTAATGTTTTTTTTGCTAATCGTATTGTTTTAGTTAAAATATTTTTATAACTGGTGTATCTAGCTTTTGCCTGTCCAGTACCTTTCATTTTACATTCATAGAATGAGTAATTTTTTCTGTAAATTGAACGTAAAAGTGATTTATAAATCCATGGAAGTCTCAGTGACTTTTTGTAGGTAGTTCCTTTGTCTTGTCAGCGTACCACGAGGTTCTATCCTAGGTCCTCTACTGTTTTTCATTTACATTAATGATCTTACGCATTCTTCTAAAAATGACATTGTTACAATTATTTGTGACAAGTTCACTAGCACAAATCGGCACCTTCAACTTGTTTTTTGAAATTTGACACTCAGTTTTTCATTTTCTCACAATTTTTTTTTGTGTGTAGCGCCCTCTGCAACAGAACTCAACTATCCCTTTAACTTACAGACGCTGTACAGACTAAGGTGTGTGTTTAGTGTATGATACATGGGTTAGTGAATGTGTTACGTATAGCGAGAAAGAGAGATAGAGAGAAAACTAATACGGTAGTTTCGCAACGACTCAACCAGCCGCTGAATAAGCGGCGGGGGGGGGGGGGGGGGGGGGGGGGGGGGGGGGGGGGTAATGATGACATTTTTTTTTTTTTTTTTTTGTCTTGAAATTTGAAATTTGACATTTGGCTCCGTTGGGGGGGGGGGGTTCGGTCACCTTTTTAGGTCAGCCATGGGATTTTTTATTTTTTATTTTTTTAATAATTTAAAAAAAAGGGGGGTTTAGGGGGGTTTAGGGGGGGGGGTTACACACATAAAATACCAAAGGGGGGGGGGTAACCCTCCTAACCCCCCACCCCCCCCCCCTCCCCTGTGTACGCGCCTGATTGGAATACATCTCAAAACTAAGGTAGGCCTACTTATTAATTTTCATCACTCTCTGAGTATATTTGACAAATTAATTTGGGAACATTTGAATGCGATCTCCTCTCAGGTTGTTCACGCCACAGATCCGAGATAGACTAATTTAATTCGGTATTTATCGCTCCTCGAAAACTGGCGACCATTAAGCCCACGACCAATGAGAGGAGGATAGTCACCAATAATGGGTCCTATAGTGTCTCTAAATCGTATAATGGAAAAGGAAAAGGAGATTGTTGCTCGTCTAGGCTGACGGTATATATTATATAACAACAATAGGAAATCTAATCTCTTACTAGTAAGAGATTAGATTTGGATGTTTTTAACTAAATGAGATGAAATATATGAAAAACGATGGAGCGACAAGCGAGGGTATGTCTGCTATATTTGCTATTTTAAAACCACATAGTCTAGGCCCATTTTCAGGCACTTCCTGGTGAAATATGACGTAAAATTGATTTCCTCTACCCCCTCCAAGAGTAGGCGCATTAATGTCAACTGGCACTTCCTGGAAATAAGCGAGGCTTTCTCATTGGCTAGAAGTTAGAGAAAAGTGATCTGTCACGTCGCAAGACGTTGTATATAATACTTTGTTGCTTCATTATTCACAATTAAAGACGGTGGTCTGGTAGTCTTCATCTCTCTAGTTGCTGTAAATTAGCATTGTTTAATGAGGAGAGGAAAAGGGGACACTTATCGAAATGGATCATAAGTCAAATTAACAAAAAGAAAATAGGAGCACGTCGTGTCAAATTACATGTCATATTGCTCCCTCTATTGCTCCCTCTATCCGCTCTTCCTGTCTCTCTCTCTAACCCACCACTTCTCCCCCCCCCCCCCCCCCCCCCCCCCCCACTCGGTATTATTTAAGGTACGCATCTGCGTGTCTCCTCCTTTTAAAAACACCCCCTAATTAGTCCGGTGTGTAAAACGGGCTTTTGTGTACTACGAGCCGAACTTTGGTGCATGAAAAGTACCCCTTTGCCGGACATTTTGGTAACACGCATATGGTATCCCTCCGATCACGGAGTAGGGGGGGGGGGGCTTCTTCTCTCTCTCTCACTCTGTCTCTTTCTCTAAACCACCCCTCCCCCCTCTGTCTGTCTCTCTCTCTCCTACTCTCCCTAACCCACCCTCCCTCTATTGACCCCTCTGTCTTCCTAACCCACACCCGTCTCTCCCCCTTACATGTCTCTTTCCCTAAACCACCCTCTCTCTCTCTCGACCCCTTTGTCTCCCTATAACCAGGGAGGTGTTTCAACTCTCATATCCCTGCCCTATCCCACCCCTCTCTCGAGATCCTTCCCCCTAACCCATTTCTTTCTCTCTCTCTCCCTACAACCCATCCCTCTTTCCCTGACCCACCCCCTCTCTTTCTTTCCCTAATCCTCCCCCTCTCTCTCTCTCTCTCCCTAACCCATCCCTCTCTCTCTCTCTCTCGCTCCCTCGATCCCTCTCTCTCTCCCAAACCCACTTCTTTCTCTCTCTCTCTCCCTCTGTCTCCTCAACCAATCCCCCTCTCTTTCTCTCTCTCTCTCTCTCTCAATCCCTGTCTCTCTCTCCCTAAATAACACACTCCTTTCTCTTTCTCACTTACCCACCCCTCTCTCTCTCTTTCCCTAACTCATCCCTCTCTCTCTCTCTCTCTCTCTCTTTCTCTCGATCTGTCTGTCTCTCAACCCAACTCAATAACATTTGTACAAAGTATAAAAAATAAAGGATATATATTTTATAAAACAGAAAAGGAGCAATGAAATACTTTGTTACAAAGTTCAAAGATGCATTTCTGAAGGTTTTAAGAAATCAAAATTAATAGAAAATTTACAACAAATTTCAAAACGAATAATAGACCTAAACAGGATCACTTAAAAAAATCCCCCAAAACATGTTTTGATCTTGACGCAAGGGGTTCCATGGGGCTAAACTCTCTTCAAATAATTATGAGCTTCCAAAATTAATATTACAACATAAATGCTTTCTCGGTGAACATTAAAATGTCTTGTTGAGGAGACTACCAGTACTTGTTTTTTAGGCGTGGTTTTGTTAGTTTCAGTATTCTTTTAATTTCTTTAAATAATTGATAATAAATATTGTTTGATTCAAATAGTGTTATTTTAAAAAGCTATGTGTTTAATTCAAAATTTCACAAGTATGTACAATTTGTTATTATTTCATTACAGTCTATACTTATGTTTATATACTGTTATTGTATTATGCAGGGCTTCCTTGAAAAGCAGGTCCACTAGCAATCTTCCAGGGAAACTGAATAAAATTACCCTGTTGAAAAAAATCATGAATAAATAAATAAATATTAATTAAAGCCCCACTGTACTACTTGTAGCTTCTTGCTCCCTCTATATAGAAAACAATGCCTAATCGGTGACCATTGGTCCCCCATGATCCTCTTTTTCTAACGTTAATTGAGAGCTGAGTTGATGAGATAGCCACCTGTCAGTGACCACCCTAGTTGGTTTAATCCCTCCTAGCTAAACTAATACAGACGGCCTTTAAAACAGACATAGAACACTCTCATAGAATAGGGCGCACATGGTACCCAAGTACAACTTGGGTTCCCTGCGGACGCTATATACACAGGGTTTTATGTTATCCCAGGGGTCTCAGTCATGTAGAAATACTGTAAGCATGCGTCACCACAGGTTTTCCGGACACGTACCTCCTAAACAAGGATTTCTTCTCAAGCCAAAATACACACCCTTAACAGGTTTTTGACAAAAGTTTACTCCTAAACAAGTATTGCAAACTTGTAACCCCTCGAGTGAGCGTTTTGAAGTGCGATAGGGATTACCATTTAAGTTGTTGACAATCATATAAAATAAATCAAACTGCACTTTTTATGTAAAATTCACAATATAAAAATGTATTTAAATAGAGAAGCAATAACAATAACCTGTACACTTCCAAATGGGTTTAATGCACAGCCATCAGCCCATCATAAGTCCTTTCTTTGAAAAAAAGAAGTACTGGTACATTTCAAATTTGATCTATATTATATAAATACGTACATGTATTGTATACAAAAAGTACACAATATACAATGAACAGCTACTATTCTACTATTCAAAACAAAATATAAATGTATAGCCCGGTAATACCTGAGGAACACATGTACAAAGTTACCGGTAGGCAAGCAGCAAGTCGGAGTCGGGGTCTAGAAAAATATCCCTAAACGCATACAGCAGGATTTTGAAAAAGTACTCTTTTTCTTGAAAATTGATGTTTTTTAAACCCCTTAACGTGGCACCGCGCAGACACCATGACTTTTACAAGCCGATTGCCTGTCTGATCATCAAGACATTTATGATTGGAAATCCAAGTTTCAAAAAACGTTTTCCTAATGTTTTTTTATATACTAGTCTATTGGGGAAAATGAGTATGGTAAAACCCGTCACTCAAAGATGATTACTTTTTTGAGGCACTTCTCGATCACTTTGAAGCCCAATAATTTTAGGGCATCAATTTCACATCATATCACAGACACTGATAACGCTTAGGGCCATGCATCTCAGATTTAACATTGTTAAACGATGCCTTAAAGAACGCTTTTCAGAGAAAACCCTTTCTTACAGTGTGAACTGTGTCTTTGTACGTGCTCAATGAAATTGTTTTTCTGATAAAATCTTTTCTCACATTCGGTGCATTTACAGTATATGGCTTTTCTACTATATGTGTTTATACTGTATTTGTTACTATATTGAGTACACTTTTCATCAAAAATGTTTTCTTACAGTGTGAACAATACTGAACATTCATATGGTTTTCTCCTGTGTGTGTTAGTACGTGACGATTGAGTGCACTTTTCCGCGAAAATCCTTTCTTACAGTAAGAACATTCATGTGGCTTTTCTCCTGTATGTATTAGTATATGTTGATTGAGTGCACTTTTCCGCGAAAATCCTCTCATACAATAGCAACATTCATATGGCTTTTCTCCTGTGTGTGTTAGTAAATGACGATTGAGGAGGCTTTTCTGAGAGAATCCTTTCTTACAGTAAGAACATTCATACGGCTTTTCGCCTGTATGTATTAGTATATGTTGATTGAGTACATATTTCCGAGAAAATCCTTTCTTACAAAAGCCACATTTATATGGCTTTTCTCCTGTATGTGTTCGGAGGTGCTTGGCGAGATGGCTTTTCTGAGAAAACCTTCTATTACAGTGTGAACATTCATATGGCTTTTCGCCTGTATGTATTAGTATATGTTGATTGAGTACATATTTCCGAGAAAATCCTTTCTTACAAAAGCCACATTTATATGGCTTTTCTCCTGTATGTGTTAGGAGGTGTTCGGTGAGACTTATTTTCTGAGAATACCCTTTATTACAGTGTGAACATTCATATGGCTTTTCTCCTGTGTGTATTCGGAGGTGCTGGGTGAGACTTCTTTTCTCAGAAAATCCTTTACTACAGTGTGAACATTCATATGGCTTTTCGCCTGTGTGTGTTAGTAAATGACAATTGAGTACGCTCTTCTGAGAAAATCTTTTCTCACAATAGCAACATTCATACGGCTTTTCTCCTGTGTGTGTTCGGAGATGGCGGTGAAGAGTACTTTTCTCAGAAAATCCTTTTTTACAATAGCAACATTCATATGGCTTTTCTCCTGTATGTGCTAGTATATGACAATTGAGTGTACTTTTCCGAGAAAATCCTTTATTACAGTGTGAACATTCATATGGCTTTTCTCCTGTGTGTGTTAGTAAATGAATATTGAGTGCACTTTTCTGAGGAAACCTTCTCTTACAATAGCAACATTCGTATGGCTTTTCTGTTGTGTGTGTTAGGAGGTGTTGGGTGAGACTTATTTTCTGAGAATACCCTATATTACAGTGTGAACATTCATATGGCTTTTCTCCTATATGTGTTAGTATATGACGATTGAGTGCACTTTTCCGTGAAAATCCTTTCATACAGTGCGAACATTCATATGGCTTTTCTCCTGTATGTGATTTCAAGTGGAGAAGGGGATGACTGGCCTGACATGATCTCTTACCGCAACATGGACACTGATGTAGCTTTTCTCCCAAATGTATCCTCAGATGAATTTCGAGTTGATCTTTTGTGGAAAACACCTTACCGCAATGTGAACAAAGATGAGATGTACCTCCACTGTTGATTGACATTCCACGTTCTACCGTCTCAACAATATCACCTGGTGGCGAGAAAGAGAAAGCTCATGTCATCAACACCTCAGATACAGTGTAAGAAAGTACATTAGTGTCCTGTTACCTCAAGTTGAGACAGAAGTTTTTGGATTATGTTCTGAACTTCTGAGAGAAAGATGAATATGACAAAATGGATTCAATGGGTTCAAGCATGTAGGCCGTCTAATTGGTCAAATGTCACCACATGACCATGCATCTTTGTTTCCGACCATGCCTACCCTGCAAAAAAAATTCCCATAAAATTCTTGGACTACCATCTGGTTCCATCTACATGTATAATTATGATAGAAACAGATCACATGTTATTGCCTACTATCGTATTTACCGGCGTAAAGGCCGCAGTATTTTTGGAAGAGAAAATATCAAAAAGTCGGGGTGCGGCCTTTACGACGAAAGAGTAAAAAAAAAAAAAAACGAAAGTCAAAACCAGCACGAATTTGCACAAATGGGACTAGAAACAGTAAAATAACTATACCACTATATGGTACAGGACATTTCCACACATCTTACCAACAATTTTACCTTGCATTGTTGACATGAAGACAGAAATAAATGTCCTAACACAACATTTGCCGATAGATCTTGATCTAAGTTCGTGCCAATGCATCGCAAAAGTAAAGGAAGGGACCGTTTAAAGAGAAGGTTGAGTTTTTGGAAGAGGTGAAAAATAATTTGTGAGCATTACTCATTCTTATTATGCAAATGTGGAAGTACATCAGCTAAGACATGTTCCCTGAAAAGCATGGCTCTTCAAATGCCTTCATATTCTAAATATGCATGTAACATCGTAAAAATTGGGGGCCGGCTTTTTACGCCACGTGTTCATGTAGTCCCATATACATCTTTCTGTGCAAGTGTTTGTAACTTTACCAAGACTTGGCCAAATTTCTTATCATTTTGATGATTCCAGAACCTTGCAATACACACAATTTCTTATATGCTAGATGATCAACCTTTTCTGGTCGGTTCCACACCTTTCTTTTCTTTCACAATGCAATCGCATGACCAGAACTCAACTTCATCTTTAACTGAGCTACCGCGAACATCCATCCCAAGTCGCCATTTTGTTTTTCCATTTCATGCAGTTTCACATTACACCGTACATTGTGGTAGGGGTATATCGGACACCAAATCTGCCCGCTATCACTTTTTGAGCTAAACTTCTGGTAAATTATAAGAATATTGATGAATTTGGTATCAGTTTGTAAAAAAATAAATAGTGTTTTACAAGAAAATTACGATTATTTTGTTTTGTCCGTAGGTTTTTTTTTTCCTTTTTTTTTTTCCCTCTTTGAAATGTCAAAGTTGGGGTGCGGCCTTATCGCCGGCTAATAATTTTGAGTTTCCAAAATTAATATTACAACTTAAATGCTTTCTCAATGAACAGTAAAATGTCTTGTTAAGGAGACTACCAGTACTTGTTTTTTTTTTTAGGCGTGGTTTTGTTAGTTTCAGTATTTTTAATTTCTTTAAAAAATTGATAATAAATATTGTATGATTCAAATAGTGTTATTTTAAAAAGATATGTGTTTAATTCAATATTTCACATGTTTATGTACAATTTGTTATTATTTCATTACAGTCTATACTTATGTTTTTACACTGTTATTTTTTATGCAGGGCTTCCTTGAAAAGCAGGTCCACTAGCAATCTTCCAGGGGAACTGAATAAAATTACCCTGTTGAAAAAAAAATCATGAATAAATGAATAAATATTACTTAAAGCCCCACTGTACTACTTGTAGCTACTTGCTCCCTCTATATAGAAAACAATGCCTCATCAGTGACCATTGGTCCCCCATGATCCTCTTTTTCTTACGTTAATTGAGAGCTGAGTTGATGAGATAGCCACCTGTCAGTGACCACCCTGGGTGGTTTAATCCCTCCTAGCCAAACTAGAATAGAATAGGGCGCACATGGTACCCAAGTACAACTTGGGTTCCCTGTGGGCCCTATATACACAGGTTTTTATGTTATCAGGGGTCTCAGTCATGTAGAAATACTGTAAGCATGCATGACCACAGGTTTTCCGGACATGTACCTCCTAAACGAGGATTTCTTCTCAAGCAAAAATACACCCTAAATGAGGATCTCACATGGTTTTTCCCCAAAATTCACACCCTTAACAGGCTTTTCACAAAAGTTTACTCCTAAATAAGTATTGCAAAATTGTAACCCCTCGAAAGAGCATTTTGGAGTGCGACAGGGATTACCATTTAAGTTGTTGACAATCATGTAATATAAATCAAACTGCACTTTTTATGTAAAATTCACAATATAAAAATGTATTTCAATAGAGAAGCAATAACATCAACCTCTACACTTCCGAATGGGTTTAATACACAGCCATCAGCTCATCATCAGTCTTTTGTTGGAAAAAAGAACTACATTTCAAATTTGATCTATATTATATATATACGTACATGTAGTGTTTACAAAAATTACACAATATATAGTGAACAGCTACTATTCTACTATTCAAAACAAAATATAAATGTATAGCCGGGTAATACCCGAGGAACAAATGTACAAATTTATCGGTAGGCAACCGGCAAGTCGGAGTTGGGGTCTAGAAAAATAGCCTTAAATTTGAAAAAGTACTCTTTTTCTTAAAAATGGACGTTTTTAAACCCCTCAACACGGCACCTTGCAGACCCCATGACTTATACAAGCCGATCGCCCGTCTGATTATCAAGAAATTAATGATTGGAAATCTAAGTTTCAAAAAACGTTTTCCTAACGTTCTATATTCTACCCATAGTATAATACGCTAAGGCGTCGAGGGGGGTATCCGGGGTCCATTTTACGGCGCCCAAATCTCCCCTCCCGCCCGCCCCCGGGCGCCGCCGGGCGGTCCCGCGGACGGACGGCGCTTTAATCTACCCACTGGGCCACGTCCCGGCGCGGTGCGACGTCCCGGTCGTCGTCGACGTCGTCGATGCGTCCGCACGTCCCACTTATCCGTCGCGAACTTCATGCTTTAGCATGAAGCGGAAGTGGCCGAGCGGTCTGAGGCGCCGGTTGCGTTCGATTCGCCGGTAGCTCTTGCACTTTTTGCACGCACGGGTTCGATCCCGCCTCCGTCGCAAGTTTTTTTTTCTTCCCCGTGTTTGTTTTGTATATTTTAGATGTTGTAATCTTTACCATTTTTTAAATTTTAATTAAAATGTAGACCTCATATTAAAAATTTAAATGAGTCGAGTCTTTATTTGATATTTATTAGCTTATTTCATGATCAGCGCAACAGATGTCTTCCCATCCACGTCCAAACTTAGAGACCTATTTCCATCATTATCGCCGGGATTTTTATATAGTTTTCGTGAGTGGAGGTATGAAATCAAAGCTTATTTTGTGATGATTCTGGCCATGTTTACTGAGTTTTGATTATCATTTATTAAAGGAAAATTTTCACAAGAAAATCAGAGAAAAACATCGTTCAGTTTCAAGAGCTCTGCCGTACGCATACAGTGTGTAGTGCAGTGCACTCTAGCTGCGCTGGCTGCTCGACTGAGTGAGTGAGTGAGCTATTCAGAGTCGAAGAGACTATGAAGGGCCAAACATGCCAATATTCGACAACTATACGCTTTATTATGTATCCATCCATGCGACTATTTATGTCTATCCATTCATTGAAGTAGGCCTACACGTGAACACAACAGCGGGCAGGCCGAAGTGCCATAAGATCGTTGGGGGGAGGGGGGGGGGGGGGGCAAAATATTTTTTTTTGCATCTTACATGTTACAAAAAAAATCTGCATCTTACATGTTACATGCAGACCCCACAAAACATTTTTCAAAGTGTGGGGGGGGGGCGAGGGGGATCAGGTAGATCGAAGCGAGTTGAGTGTAGGCGTGGGGTCCACGGGTTTCAAGGGGCCATAAACCCCCGAAAGCTCGGGGGGTTTAGGCGTTTAATTAGGGTCAGATGAGCATATTTTCAATACTTTATTTGGCGTGGGGTCAATACGTAGAGTTGCGTAGTGTTGCGTACCAACTACGCTGACCTACGTTACTATATGCTGGGGGACGGAAAGGGGTACGCAAGATGAACGAAAACAATTCAACATGTTTAATTTTTTTCGCGTACTTTCGGCGTAGAAACTTGACGCAGAAAGTACGCCTTTTTACGCAACACTACGCTACATGACTACGCAACAGTACGCTACCCTATGCCAGATTGACAAAGCAGTAAAAGCTTTCCACACAGTAAGCAACCATAAGCAAACCTGTACGCCAGCCTACGCATAACCTACGCAGGGACTATTTTCCCATTAATACACAGACTAATTTCTGCGTAGTCAGTACGCCACACTACGGAACTCTACGCAGTTCCAGTGGCTTAAAGAATAACTACCGGTATAGTTGGATCGTTTTTGTTTTTTTATATAAGGCCAAATTAAAAAAAAAAACATGTTTGGCGTCCTGTTTTTTCGAAAAATGGGAAGGAGGCCCTTTTTTTCTTTTTTTTTTCTTTCAAAATGGCCGCTCCGTACATTTTCCCTGACATTCAGGCTATTTTTCAAGATGGCGGCCGACAATTTTTTTTTTTTTTTTTTAAATCAGAAATACATTTTAGCAGTGCTTTTCATGTTTTTTTTCTTTCAAAAAAAAATAAAAAATAAAAAAAAATAAATAAATAAATTTTAAAAAAATAGGAGGCGGCCCCCAAAAAGAAAGCAGGCAGGAACGGTGTTTTTTTCTTTCAAAAATAAAAAAAATAAAAAAATAAAATATTTAAAAAAAAAGCGGGCGGGGACGCTAAACATGTATATTTTTTTAATGGCCTGAATGGCAAATAAAGTTCTTGGTGGTTTTAATTTAGACAGTCTCTATATATCTATTTACAACCCCCGCCCCCCTCTAGAATCCCGCGGATTTCCGCGGGTCCTGCTAATCTATATAAGTAATACGCTAAGGCTCCGCGGGGAGCGCGACGTCTCCGCCAGCCTTTGTATTTATTGTTTTTTAATGAGATCGCCGACCGAAGTTGGTGCAGCTATCTCCTCCTGAACCCTCCCCTCGGGGTATCCGTGCCCGGTGCCATCGTCCGCGGGAGAGTCTACTCTGTGGAATTGGCTACACTCCGCCCGAGGTCCTCCTCCGTGTCGACGTCCAGGGCGAAAACAAACGCGATATGCATAATGCAGGATATGCGTGACGACAGAGATACCTCATGGATATTCAACATTACATCCGTAGACACACGACCGATGACTGTCCACTCACATTAAGTTGCGTATTAAATGCACGATGCACAGGGTCGGGATTACCCGAGTAAAGCATCTTTCTATAGGATATCCTTTGTAGTAGCTGCACAAGCACAAAGCCAGAGAGATATACGGGGCTAATTCCCGTCCACGTCCAAACTTAGAGACCTATTTCCATTATGATTGCCGCGATTTTTATATAGTTTTCGTGAATGGAGGTATGAAATCAAAGCTTATTTTGTGATTATTACGGCCATGCTTACTGAATTTTGATTATCATTTTCTAAAGGAAAGTATTCACAAGAAAATCATTGGACTGACAGTTCAGTCGCAAGCTGCCTTCAGTCTACACACACATACATACAGTACACACAGTGCTGTGTCGGCCGTGCCGGGACTTTGGCGGTAGCGTACGAAGGTGCGAAGTAACGCTAGGCTAGCGGCCTCATGAATAAACATGAGTAATGACGTCACGAACTCGCCACGCCTACTTTGGCTGAGTGAGGTAGAGTCGAAGAGTATGGGGGGCCAAGCAGGCCAATATTCGTACAACTACACAATTACACATACGTCTATCCATCAATCGAAGAACCCGTCAACACATTAGCGTGTGGGCCAAAGTGCCATAATTTTGTATACCTATACAGCTATAAAACTATACGACTATACTACTCAGCCATCGGAGACTAATATTGTCTTATATCTACAGTAAATTACAAGAAAATTTAAGCAAGGTTATTAATAGTCCAATATCAACCAGACAGAATATGTGACTTCATGCATTGCAAAACAGACAGTTGCGTAATGAGTAAAATCGTTGGGGGGGGGGGGGGGGGGGAGTGCTGAAAAAAAAATCTGCATCACCATGCACCATTCTTACATGTTACATGCAGACTCCAAGAAACGTTTTTCAAAGTGTGGGGGGGGGGATCAGTTAGATCGCAGCGAGTTGAGTGTTTATAGGCGTGGGTCCACGGGTTTCAAGGGGCCATAAACCCTGAAAGCTCACGGGTTTTAGGCATTTAATTAGGATCAGACGAGCATATTTTTAATACTTTATTTGTGACACTGTCAGGTCACTAATTGGCGTGGGGTCCATACGTAGATTTGCGTAGTGTTGCGTACCAACTACGCTGGCCTACGTTACTACATGCTGATAGACGCAAACAATTCAACATGTTTAATTTTTTCCGCATACTTTCGGCGTAGAAACTTGACGCAGAAAGTACGCCTTTACACGCAACTCTACGCTACTGTACGCCATGCCTACGCAACAGTACGCTACCCTACGCCAGATCGACAAAGCAGTAAAAGCTTTCCACACAGTAAGCAACCGTAAGCAACCATAAGCAAACATGTACACTAGCCTATGCATAACCTACGCAGGGATTTTAATTTAGAGAGTCTCTCTCATGGGCGTCAATCCTTACGTAATACCTATTGTTCAGGGTGGATGAATGAATAGATCATCCCCCCTGAACAATAGGTATTTTGGTGTAAGGATTGACGCCCATGGTCTCTATATATCTATTTACACCCCCGCCCCCCTCTAGAATCCCGCGGATTTCCGCGGGTCCTGCTAGTTTTTTTATAATACTACAGTCTATTGGGGAGAATGAGCGTGGTAAAACCAGTCACTCAAAGATGATTACTTTTTTGAGGCACTTCTCAATCACTTTGAAGTCCAATTTTTTTAGGGCATCAATTTCTCATCATATCACAGACACTGATAACGCTTAGGGCCATGTATCTCAGATTTAACATTGTTAAACGATGCCTTTAAGAACGCTTTTCAGAGAAACCCTTTCTTACAGTGTGAACTGTGTTTTTGCGAGAAAAGATTTTATCAGAAAAGAAATCTTTTCTCACATTGGGTGCATTTATAAGGCTTTTCTACTGTATATGTTACTATATATGACAATTGAGTACACTTTTCATAGAAAATGTTTTCTTACAGTGTGAACATTCATATGGTTTTTCTCTTCTGTGTGTAGTCATAGTGAGATGAGAATTGACTTTTCTGATAAAATCCTTTCTTACAACAGCAACATTCATATGGCTTTCTCCTGTGTGTGTTAGTACGTGACGATTGAGTTTACTTTTCTGAGAAAATCCTTTATTACGATATCAACATTCATCAGACTTTTCTCCTGTGTGTCTTAGTATATGACGATTGAGTGTACTTTTCTGAGAAAATCCTTTCTTACAATAGCAACATTCATATGACTTTTCTCCCGTGTGTGTTAGTAAATGACGATTGAGTGCATATTTCCGAGAAAATCCTTTCTTACAATAGCAACATTCATATGGCTTTTCTCCTGTATGTGTTAGTAAATGAATATTGAGAGCACTTTTCTGAGGAAACCCTCTCTTACAATAGCAACATTTATTTGGCTTTTCTCCTGTATGTGTTAGTATATGACGAGTAAGTGCACTTTTCCATGAAAATCCTCTCTTACAATAGCAACATTCGTATGATTTTTCTCTTTTGTGTGTTCGTAGGTGTTTGATGAAATTACCTTTGTGAGAAAAAATTTTCTTACAGTGTAAACATTCATACAGCTTTTCTGTTGTGTGCGTTCGGAGATGACGTTTCAAATTATTTTTCCATGAAAATCCTTTCTTACAATAGCAACATTCATATATCTTTTCTCCTGTGTGTGTTAGGAGGTGCTGGGTGAGATAGCTTTTCTGAGAATACCCTTTCTTACAGTGTGAACATTCATATGGCTTTTCTCCTGTATGTGTTAGTAGATGACAATTGAGTACGCTCTTCTGAGAAAATCTTTTCTTACAATGGCAACATTCATATGGCTTTTCTCCTGTGTGTTTTAGGAGGTGTTGGGTGAGATTTCTTTTCTCAGAAAACCCTTTCTTACAGTGTGAACATTCATATGGCTTTTCTCCTGTGTGTTTTAGGAGGTGTTGAGCGAGATTTCTTTTCTCAGAAAATCCTTTCTTACAGTGTGAACATTCATATGGCTTTTCTCCTGTGTGTGTTACAAGGTGTTGGGTGAGATTTTTTTTCTCAGAAAATCCTTTCTTACAGTGTGAACATTCATATGGCTTTTCTCCTGTGTGTGTTCGTAGATGACGGTGAAGAGTACTTTTCTGAGAAAATCCTTTCTTACAGTATGAACATTCATATGGCTTTTCTCCTGTGTGTGTTAGTAAATGAATATTGAGTGCACTTTTCTGAGGAAACCCTCTCTTACAATAGCAACATTTATATGGCTTTTCTCCTGTGTGTGTTAGTAAATGAATATTGAGTGCACTTTTCTGAGAGAATCCTTTCTTACAATAGCAACATTCATATGGCTTTTCTCCTGTATGTGTTAGTATATGACGATTGAGTACACTTTTCTGGGAGAATCCTTTCTTACAATAGCAACATTCATATGGCTTTTCTCCTGTATGTGTTAGTTTATGACGATTAAGTGCACTTCTCCGTGAAAACTCTTTATTACAATAGCAACATTCATATGGCTTTTCTCCTGTGTGTGTTAGTATATGACGATTGAGTTCATTTTTCTGTGAAAATCCTTTCTTACAATAGCAACAGTCATATGGCTTTTCTCCTGCATGTGATCTCAAGTGGAGAAGGGGATGAATGGCCTGACATGATCTCTTACTGCAACATGGACACTGATGTAGCTTTTCTCCAGAATGTATCCTCAAGTGAATGTCGGATCGATGTGTTTTGGAAGACACCTTGCCGCAATGTGAACAAAGATGAGATTTACCTCCACTGTTGATTGACATTCCACTTTCTACCGTCTCTTGTCCGTTGTCAACAATACCACCTGGTGGAGAAAAAGAGATAATTCATGTCATTGACACCTCAGATACAGTGTAAGAAAGTACATGAGTGTCCTGTCACCTAAAATTGAGACAGAAGTTTTTGGATTATGTTCTGAACTTCTGAGAGAAAGATGAATATCCAAAAATGGTTCAAGCATGTAGGCCATCTAATTGGTCAAATGACACCACATGACCATGCATCTTTGTTTCCAACTATGCCTACCCTGCAAAAAAAATTCCCATCAAATTCTTGGACTACCATCTGGTTCCATCTACATGTATAATTATGCTAGAAACAGATCACATGTTATTGCCTCCTACTCACCTTTTTGAGTAATAAAAACACACATCATCGGATAAGGCCAGGGAGAACAGAGGGCAAGGAGAAAACTTGACTCAGGAGAAAAGCTTTAAACATCATTCCAAAGAGAAAACGCCTCTAAAACCTAAGGCAGGCTAAAAACAGGAGACACCTTAGGGTTTGCTGGTTGTTGTTAAAAAACGAAAACAGCAACTCGGATAGGAAATGGGAGTTAGAAACTCCCGAGCCGTCCGGAAACCCAACAAGAAAGGCGGCGAAGGCCTGAGCGATATCCACGAAACGTGGAAAGGGCTCTACCCCTAAAAAATAACGAGAAAAGAACCTCCGCAATCAGGCTTACCAAAACCGTAGAGGGTGAAGAGGGTGTGCTGCAAGGTCCAATTCTTATTCCCGTTTTATTTTCAATGTACTGTATGTTAATAGTCTACCCGAATGTACTCCTCAGGAAGAGCTTTGCGCATTGAGCGCCCTCGTTGGTTGATCGCTCGAGCGGCTTTTATTTCGAATTTGAATAGGAGGGGTCAAACAGCGCAGAGAGCTAATGCGCAATGATGCTGACCGTACTTTGACTTTTGGGCGGGAGCTTTGCTCTTCTGCTCTGGTTTTCGAACATTATTCGGTTAATTTGTTAAGCTATCAAAAAAAAAACGAAAAAGTCGAGCGTGGGTAAATCGAACCTATAGCTATACGTATGGCAACATGATTTGGGTCATGCAAAGTTCAGCGGTGCGTGCCTCGCCAGCTCAAGGAATGCGGTCTAGTCATTAATTCTTGGCCAGTGTTATAATTAGCATCAGCAAAATGAAAAACATAGTCCGCTGGACAAAGATCTCATCGGCTTGGACTAGCAATGAGCCATTTACGCAGTCTCTTTAACAGGTTCACATCTACCACTGATTATTATCAATAATCAAGCTATTAACTCTTTGTGTGATTCATTGGCAGTGATTGGCCAAGTTGGCATTGATTTGCCAACATGATCATTTGTGGGTTGCACAGGAGCAGGGTCCACGTCCTGCAACCTGGGTGTCATGACTTCTTGAAGCCATGATAGCAGATGCTCCTAAATACATGTATTAATAAATTTAAATATCAATTTACCAATCATATAAACATTAGACACGATTGTCGTACTGAGCCGTGCTACTCATAATTAGGAAATGTATTTGTTGCACAAGGCAAAAGAGATGAATCAATGAGTGTGGAGGTATATGTATTGTGTATTTGAGCTTTGAAAAAGTGACATCCAACCCAAGCCCCCCCCCCCCTTCTCTCTCTCTTTCTCCTTCTCTCTAATTATTTCTCTCAATCTAATATGAAATTGGACTGAACGGGAAAAGAATGACCGCATTCAAAGATGTATGCACTTACATTAGTAACATAGCTATAATAGATCTATACATGTTTTTAAGTTCTTTTGTAACTGATAGAAGAGAAAAAGATTTTTTTTTTTTCAATTTTGGGACCCGCCGACAGGCTATCTTATTGAAAATAAATCTCTGAACAACATATTTGAATACATATACAAATGAATATCATATCAAACTTCAGAATAAGATATAGACTACATGATGGATATAATAAGCGATGACTGAAATCATATCATATTGATAATAATGGTACGATAATGATAATAGGTCTACTATACATACAGAACATGATAATAACAAATATTTAATAAATTATTATTACCAAATCAAAAAGAAAAAGAAAAAGAACCTTCCCCCCTCCACTAATTTTTTTTTTTTTAAAACCCTCCTCCTCCAACAAAATATAAACAAGGGAAACGCTCTCGGCGGTCTCGCCTGCATAACGCAATTCAATATGATAAACCAGAACGTCAATGACGTAGCGCTCATCCGCATCTCACAACAACAAATATCGTAAATTTTATGTGGTACACTTTTGAACTGGTCAAAAAATAGAAATTTGATGCCCTGGAAGGGACATAATTTCATTTCATTTGCATAAACTACCATAAATAATCAATGGAGCAAAATCTCACAATTCTGTGTAGAAGTTTATTGTTCCAAATTTAGCTCTACCAGATAAGGCAAAATCGGTCAAGAAATGAGGGAAATGAGGGAAAAGAAGCAATTTTTGTTATTTTTGGAATAAATTTGCATAAATTACCATAATTAATTAATGGAGAACAATTTCAAAATTCTGTGTAGAAGTTTAGTGTACCAAAGTTAGCTCTACGATATAAAGCAAACCAAATCAAAATCGGTCGAGAAATGAAGAAGAAGCCTTTTTTGTGATTTCGAATAAATTTGCATAAATTAGCATAGATAATGAATTTCACGATTCTGTGTAGAATTTTAAATCCCCTCCTAGCCCTATCATATGAAACAATCAGAATCAAAATCGGTTGAAAAATAACGAAGAAGAAGCATTTTGAAAATCTTAATGTTGATGCCACAACAAAGTCTAAGTTTGTTGACCTTAAATGGCCTTTGACCTTAACTTAGTGACCTGAAATTCTACTCACATGATTGGGGAGACTTGATAACCCTATAGTCCAAGTTTCATTGACTAAGATCTTATACTTTCAAAATTATATTAAAAATTCAAAAACTTAACCTTAGGTTAAGTTTTCGATGATGATGCTACAACATAGTCCAAGTCTGTTGACCTGAAATGACCTTTGACCTTGACTTTGTGATCTGAAATTCTACTCACATGATTGGGGATACTTGATTACCCTATAGTCAAAGTTTCATTGACTAAGAACTTATACTTTAAAAATTATACCAAAAATTCAAAAACTTAACCTTAGGTTAAGTTTTTGATGTTGACGCCGTCGCCGTCGCCGTCGCCGTCGCCGTCGCCGCCGCCGTCACCGGAAAAGCGGCGCCTATGTCTCGCTTTTTGCTACGCAGGCGAGACAAAAACTCCCCCCCCCCCCCCCCAAAAAAAAAAAAAAAAAAATTAAATGCAACATTGTTACTGAAAATAATTTGGGAAACTCTTTTAAATAATATTATATACCTCACTTAAGAAATCCAGCCATCCGATTGGTCGAAATTGCAGTCGTGATTTTAGCCATTCCCGTAAAGAAACAAATGACAAATGACATAACTATATCATCCATGAATGCGAGCGAGTGAGCTTGGGAAAAATTGTTTTTAGTCGCTGTAAATTGGCATTGTTTAATGATGAGAGGAAAAGGGACACTAGTATCGAAATGGATAAGACACATTAACAAAAAGAAAAGGAGCACCTCATGTCAAAGAACAGATCATATTGCTCCCTTTATCCTCTATTCCTGTCTCTCTTCCGAACCCACACCCGTCTCTCCCCCTCACACAATCTGTCTCTTTCCGCAAACCATCCCTCGCTCTCTCCCTAACCCACCCCTCTCTCTCTCTCTCGCTCTCTCTCTAACCCATCCCCCCTCTCTCTCCCTAATGGTTAACCCACTCCTTTCTCTCTCTCCCTTACCCACCCTCTCTCTCTCCTTTTCCCTAACTCATCCCTCTCTCTCTCTTTCCCAAACCCACCTCTGTCTCTCCCTCTGTCTCTCTCTGTACCCCCTCTCTTCACCACTCCCCTCCTACCCCCCCCCCCCCACCCCCTCTCTCTCTGTCTCTGTGACTTCCTTTTCCCCAACTCACAATTTATATTTGTACATACATTTTACATAGTGTAAAAATAAAGGATATTTATTTCATAAAACAGAGAAAAAGCAGTGAAATACTTTGTTACAAAGTTCAAAGATGCATTTTTGAAGGTTTTAAGGAATCAAAATCAATAGAAAATTAACACCGACTTTCAATAAGAATAATAAACCTAAACAGGATAACTTTATAGTAAAACAATCACCAAAACATGTTTTGATCTTCACGCAAGGAATCCATGTGGCTAAACTCTCTTCAAATATGTGAGCTTCCAAAATTAATATTACAACATAAATGCTTTCTCAGTGAACAGTAAAATGTCTTGTTGAGGAGACTACCAATAGGCGTGGTTTTGTTAGTGCCAGTATTTTTAATTTCTTTAAAATTTCTCAAAGAAAAGGGGGCACATGGTACCCAAGTACATTGGGTTTAGTGCGAGCCCTATATACACAGGGTTTTATGTTATCCCAGGGGTCTCAGTCATGTAGAAATACTGTAAGCAAGCGTGACCACAGGTTTTACGGACACATACCTCCTAAACAAGGATTTTTTTCTCAAGCCAAAATACACACCCGTAACAGGTTTTTCACAAAAGTTTACTCCTAAACAAAAATTTTAACCCCTCGAGTGAGCATTTTGAAGTGCGATAGGGATGGATTACCATTTAAGTTGTTGACAATCATGTAATATAAATCAAACTGCACTTTTCATCTAAAATTCACAATATAAAAATGTATTTCAATAGAGAAGCAATAACATCAACCTCTACACTTCCAAATGGGTTTAATGCATCAGCTCATCATAAGTCCTTTCTTTGAAAAAAAGAAGTACATTTCAAATTTGATCTACATGGGTTTGTATATATTATATTAAATACATACATGTAGTGTATACAAAAAGTACACAATATACAATGAACAGCTAGTCGGCTACTATTCTACTATTCAAAACAAAATATAAATGTATAGCCCGGTATTACCTGAGGAACACATGTACAAAGTTAACGGTAGGCAAGTGGCAAGTCGGAGTCGGGGTCTAGAAAAATAGCCCTAAACACGTACAGCAGGATTTTGAAAAGTACTCTTTTTCTTGAAAATGGACATTTTAAAACCCCTTAACGCGGCACCGCGCAGACCCGATGACTTACACAAGCCGATCGCCTGTCTGATTATCAAGACATTTATGATTGGAAATCTAAATTTCAAAAACCGTTTTCCTAACGTTTTTTATAACACGACAGTCTATTGGGGAAAATGAGTATGGTAAAACTGGTCACTCAAAGATGATTACTTTTTTGAGGCACTTCTCGATCACTTTGAAGCACAATTTTTTTAGGGCATCAATTTCACATCATATCACAGACACTGATAACGCTTAGGGCCATGCATCTCAGATTTAACATTGTTGAACGATGCTTTTAAGAACGCGTTTCAGAGAAACCCTTTCTTACAGTATGGCCTGTGTCTTTGTACGTGCTCAATGAGATTGCTTTTCTGATATCTTTTCTCCCATTGGGTGCATTTATATGGCTTTTCTACTTTATGTTTTACTATATATGACAATTGAGTACACTTTTCATAGAAAATGTTTTCTTACAGTGTGAACATTCATATGGTTTTTCTCCTCTGTGTGCAGTCATAGTGAGATGAGAATTAATTTTTCTGATAAAATCTTTTCTCACATTGGGTGTATTTATATAGCTTTTCTCCTGTGTGTTAGTACGTGACGATTGAGTTTACTTTTCTGAGGATATTCTTGATTATGATATCAACATTCATATGGCTTTTCTCCTCTGTGTGTTAGTATATGACGATTGAGTGCACTTTTCCGAGAAAATCCTTTCTTACAATAGCAACATTCGTATGGCTTTTCTCCTGTGTGTGTTAGGAGGTGTTGGGTGAGACTTCTTTTCTCACAAAATCCTTTCTTACAGTGTGAACATTCATATGGCTTTTCGCCTGTGTGTGTTAGTAAATGACGATTAAGTGCACCTTTCCGGGAAAATCCTTTCTTACAATAGCAACATTCATATGGCTTTTCTCCTGTGTGTGTTAGTAAATGACGATTGAGGAGGCTTTTCTGAGAGAATCCTTTCTTACAAAAGCAACATTCATATGCCTTTTCTCCTGTATGTGTTAGTAAATGACGATTGAGGAGGCTTTTCTGAGAGAATCCTTTCTTACAATAGCAACATTCATATGGCTTTTCTCCTGTGTGTGTTAGTAAATGACAATTGAGGAGGCTTTTCTGAGAGAATCCTTTCTTACAGTAAGAACATTCATATGGCTTTTCTCCTGTGTGTGTTAGGAGGTGCTGAGTGAGAATTCTTTTCTGAGAAAATCCTTTATTACAGTGTGAACATTCATATGGCTTTTCTCCTGTGTGTGTTAGGAGGTGTTGGGTGAGATTTCTTTTCTCAGAAAACCCTTTATTACAGTGTAAACATTCATATGGCTTTTCTCCTGTATGTGTTCGGAGATGACGTTTAAGATTGTTTTTCAGAGAAAATCCTTTCTTACAATAGCAACATTCATATGGCTTTTCTCCTGTGTGTGTTAGGAGGTGTTGGGTGAGACTTATTTTCTGAGAATACCATTTATTACAGTGTGAACATTCATATGGTTTTTCTCCTGTGTGTGTTCGGAGATGAAGATTGAGTGCACTTTTCCGAGAAAATCCTTTGTTACAATAGCAACATTCATATGGCTTTTCTCCTGTGTGTCTTAGGAGGTGTTTGGTGAGATTTTTTTTCTGAGAAAACCCTTTCTTACAGTGTGAACATTCATTTGGCTTTTCTCCTGTGTGTGTTCGGAGATGACGATTCAGTACGCTCTTCTGGGAAAATCCTTTCTTACAATAGCAACATTCATATGGCTTTTCTCCTGTATGTGTTAGTATATGACGATTGAAATCATTTTTCCGTAAAAATCCTTTCTTACAATAGCAACATTCATATGTCTTTTCTCCTGTATGTGATCTCAAGTGGAGAAGGGGATGACTGGCCTGACATGATCTCTTACTGCAACATGGACACTGATGTAGCTTTTCTCCAGAATGTATCCTCAGGTGAATGTTGGATTGATCTGTTGTGGAAAACACCTTGCCGCAATGTGAGCAAAGATGAGATTTACCTCCACTGTTGATTGACATTCCACGATCTACTGTCTCTTGTCCATTGTCAACAATATCACCTGGTGGCGAGAAAGAGAAAGCTCATGTCATCGACAGCTCAGATACAGTGTAAGAAAGTACATGAGTGTCCTGTCACTTCAAATTGAGACAGAAGTTTTTGGATTATGTTCTGAACTTCTGAGAGAAAGATGAATATCCAAAAATGGTTCAAGCATGTAGGCCGTCTAATTGGTCAAATGACACCACATGATCATGCATCTTTGTTTCCAACCATGCCTACCCTGCAAAAAAAGTTCCAAAAAATTCTTGGAGTACCATCTGGTTCCATCTACATGTATAATTATGCTAGAAACAGATCACATGTAATTGCCTACTACTCACCTTTTTGAGTAATAAGTGGAGGGCCAAAGTCAAATATCATGCTTGGTTTTAGGAGTTGGTTGCCACTACCAGTATACCACATAAACTAGAAATATCGCAATCTGTATTGGCGCTCAATGCGAATGTATCCCCCGGCAGTGACAGCGATTTTGTGTCATCCTTATGTTCGAAGGAGAGGCAAAGATCCCCTCTCCACTCCCTGAAACAAAAGGATGACGTAGAGATCACCACAAGTGGCTCGGACTATGGTCAAGACTCAGAGCAGCATCACCAAAATAATATGTGTGTAGATTATAGTATAATGCATCTCTGTAGAAAATTTAAAAGAAATCGGTCAAGAAATGTGGCAGTTAGAGCGCACAAAAGACAACCACCGCAATATTACCTTTGACCCCATAACAGACGAAACACAGGTGGCAGCATCAACAAACACTAAAGATTTGTAGATTGTATACGAAGACACACCTCCATACAACATTTGAGAGAAATCCGTCAAGAAATGTGGCAGTTAGTGCGCATAAAAGACATTTGACCTTTGAACATATAAAAGATGGAACAATGAGGGCAGCATTGCCCAAAAGTGTAGATGTGTAGAGTTATGCACATGGAAACTGCCGATCCAGTCCCTTTAAGTCAAAGGCTGTCAAGCAGTCAACGCCCGGTCGCCACTGGGAGATCAGTCGGTCACTGGGCGGCGAGTCCAAAATTGGTCGGCACTCGGCATCCTTTGATCTAGCTAGATCTTTTACCTAAATCGTTCGACGGCGAATGCTCGATTAGGTCGGTATCCGGCCGGCGAACAGCCCGGCACCGAGCATATTTTGGTGCCCCGCCGATTACCGGCCGGCTGCCGGCCAATATCTTTAAAATCAGCCGGCGGCCGGTGGGAGACCGCTCGGGAATCGGTGGGTCATCAATCGGTCAGCGACGGGACGCCGTTCGGAGAAGCTCCCCGATTTCGCTCAGTCTTGGCCTAAAATCGACCAGCGATCGACGGGAAATCGACAGGGCACTGCCCAGGCATCGCTGGGATTCTACAGCCTGCTCTAATTCTCCAAAGATTGTTGGGCGATGCCTAAATTCCAGCAGGCTACTAATCGGTCGGTCGCCGCTCTGATTTGTGACCATAGCTTAAGCTATAAAGATGCGTGAACTTAAGTCTGACAATGAATGAGTTAAAATCTGCATGAACTGAATTATATCAAAGGAAGCAGATTACGGTGATAGGTCCTAATTAGAACTCATTGATAAAGATAATGATAACTGTAAGATACTAATCTCTGTTTTGAAAGGACATTTTTCGTTTCAGTTGACGATCGAGGTATGACGTCAGAAGCGATGGTTTTTTGGTTGAATTTTAGGTCTGCCGAGTGGGGGCGTAACAATTTAGCTGCACATGATTCTCTATTTGGGAAAGTCATCTTTCTGATATGCAATCGATAATTTAGCATTCCAGACAAGCCCAATGTTGTGAGTATAATTTGAACATATGATGATAATAATTAATAACTAGCTGTCAGTTTGAGTTGGGTGTTGGTTTTATATACTGTTCATAGTTTTCAGATAATTTGGTGTATAAAATTTGTTATGAAAGTGATACGTACGCACAGTAACTTTGTATGATGCATTACACATGCAGTTACATAATACGGTGCATGTGTGTAGTGCTATGGGGATAGTCTGTTGTACAGACCGCGTTGTGTTATTTTAATATCATTTATATATAAGAGGCAGTTGTATAAAGTGACAGAATGAAGATAAATTCTGGTAACTGTAGACATGTATATAAAGAAGAATTTAGGGTAATTTGTGTAGAGCCAAAAGGGTTATTGTTTTATCATTCACACAAATGCAATAGTGAACAAAGGAAATTCAAGTAGCCATAGTTTCAGGGTATCATAAATATTTTATTCATTTATTATGATGCTAAGGAAATATAACATAGTCTTTACTGGGCGTTGATATTTCATTTTGGAACAGTGTAATATGTAATTTCAGTAAACGACTAAGCATGCATTAATCATACAACTAATTTGATGCAAGATTGTTTGTAAACACAGTTTAAAATTGACATATTATTTATGATTGTTTAATTCTGATTAAATTTCAGGTTGAACCACCTTTTGTTAACGGTATCACTACAAGCTTGAAATTGTTGCTCTTTATCGATGTGCTGTCAGTCTGATTGGTAAGTTATACACTACATTAACTACTGATGAGTTCGAGGGTCTTAGAATTGGTAGATACTCATGATAATATACGAGTCACCAGTCCGGTTTGATATGATGGTAGACATGTTTATTCAACTACGACGGATACAGGATATTCGGATATCGCATATCGTAACATCCCCCTTGCTCTGGAAAGATTGGGAATCAGTGAACATCACTGATCGATGATTAATAACATATTGCTTTGATAACAATACTTTTGGTAGTATGCAAGTTTTGGTTATTTGCTTCCTAATTAACTTTTTCCAATCAGGTTATATAACATAAAATCTTGATTTGTTTTCAATACGTTTCTTTTGTATTGTATTAACGAATGAGTATAACTGTATATATTATTATCGTTCCACTCTCAACTTCACAGTTATCTGCGAGATTGAACATAGTTTTGATATAACTTGATTCCTTTATAAACATGAATTTCCAAACGAAACGTGTTTGGGCTAGCATCTGTTTCTTGAGTTGTAAAGATTATGCTTGTTATACCAAAAGTACTGTACAATGATTATACATGCATATGAACAATAAACTTCTTAGACTACATTAAACTAAGCGTCGTCTGTGTTCTCTTCTCTCTTCTTTGAAGATATTTAAGAGTTCAGTTTCAATCTTCAAACATGTATCTCGCTGGGGTACGGATGTTGCGTCCATATCTAGTTGTGGTTTGCAAGTTTGTTGTTGGTTCTTTAGCTTGAATGTTCCGAGTCTCTGGTGTTGGAGTTGCTTGATGGTTGTTGCCATTCTGTTGTGGTGTTTCTGCTTGAGTGAATGAAGTGTAGTCTTCGGCGAACCGAACATGCTTTGGAGATGGGTTGGTTGACGATGGAATCTCCCTCAAGTGAGATCGGTTTCGTCTCAGGATTCCTCCGTTGGGTGTTGATACTTCACACGACCTAGGCTCGTCACAGACTTTGGATACTTTGGCTGGTATCCAAGTATGATCTTTGGGATGTAGGACTCTGTCTGGTTGTCCTACCTGGAGTGGTGGAAGATCTGGACCCGCATGTCGATCGTGCGTTTCTTTCATCTTGCTTTTTCGATTCAAGAGATGATCAGTGGTGGTAGATTCTCTTGAAAGATAATGACTTGGCAGTGTTGTTCTGATGGGTCTTCCAAACAACATCTCTGCAGGTGATCTCATGTGACTGTCAACAGGTGTTGCTCTTAGGTGTGACATAGCCAGTTGAGTGTCTTGGCCAGTCTGTGAACACTTTTTCAACAGATTCTTGACGGTACGAACCATTCTCTCAGCTAGTCTGTTGGATCTTGGATAGTGAGGTGAAGAGATTGTATGTGTGTTTGACCACTTATGGCACATTTCCTTGAAGTGCTTCCCGACAAATTGTGGACCGTTGTCCGATACGATCTCCTCTGGTGGACCAAATAGACTGAAGATTCCACTCATCACGTTAGCTACTGCAGCACTTGATGTGTCAGTCAGCTTGTAGACTATCGGATACTTGGAGTAATAGTCAGTGACGAGTAAATACTCTTGTCTGTTGAGCATGAACAAGTCTGTCCCTAGTCTAGTCCAAGGTGCTGAAGGTACATCATGGGGTAACAACGGCTCTTTCTGTTGCCTTGCCTGGTGTTCCTGGCAAGCAGCACATTTCTTTAAGAGCTGTTCAATGTCCTTGGTGATGTGTGGCCAGAACGCTGTCTCAGGAGCTAGTCGTCTCATGCTCTCGATTCCCATGTGTCCAAGATGAAGTTGTCTAAGGATATCTTCCCGAAGTGTCTTTGGTATGATCACTCGACTTCCTTTGAAGAGTACTCCTTGTGACACTCCAATCTCATCTCTGTAAGACCAGAATTCTCTTAGGGATGTCGGCAGCTCTTGAAGAGTTTCAGGCCAACCCTGTGTGACTGTCTGCCACAGTGACCTAAGAACAGGGTTATTGGATGTTTCCCTCTGGAGTTCTGTTCTCTTGTGTTGTCCGAAGAAGATCAAGTCGATTTGATGAGTGTCTTCTACTTCGGAGCAGATTGATTCCACTCTGATGTCTAGCGGAACATCGTGTGCTTCCTTGGGGTTAGGAAGACGGCTCAAGGTATCTGAAAGAATCATTTCTTTCCCAGGTCGGTACTTGATTTGGCATCTGTATCCTTGTACCTTGATCAATAGTCTCTGTAGACGAGGTGATGTGCTTCTTAGAGGTTTCTTCCAAATTGTTTCCAATGGCCTGTGATCGGTTATCACAGTGAATTCCTTCCCGAATAGGTAAGTATGGAATTGGGTGATACCAAACACTAGGGCTAAGGTTTCCCTCTCTATGTTCGAGTAGTTGGATTGTGCATTGGAGAGACTTTTGGATGCAAAAGCTACAGGATTGCCATCTTGGAACGGGCATGCTCCCAGCCCTTTCATCGATGCATCTACCTCAATGGTTGTCTCTTTCTTTGGGTCAAAGAACTGCAGGCATGCACCCGATGAGACTACGCTTTTCAGGCTGTTTAAGGCATGTTCGTGATCCTCGTCCAAGACGAATGGAATTTCCTTGTGAAGGAGTTCATGAAGTGGTGCTGACTTCTCTGATAGATTAGGTATGTATGGTGCTAGGTATGTGAACAGTCCAAAGCATCTCTGAACATCTTCCTTGTCCTTGGGTGAAGGCATTGTATTGATAGCTTCAACCTAGCTTGGATCTGGGAAGATTCCAGATCTTGTGTACATGGATCCAAAGTAGCTGATAGCTTCCTTCTTGATAGTACACTTACATCTGTTGAACACGAGTCGTTCCTGTTTCGCTGTTTCAATGAGTAAGTGGAGATTCTCGTCATGTTCCTCCTTTTTTTCTCCGACAATGGCAATGACGTCTGTAAGACATATGCAGCCAGGCACATTCTGGATGATCCTATCCATGTGTTGCTGGACGATGTATTGGCTTGTGCATAAGCCAAAGGGTAATCGTTGGAAACAATATCTTCCAAATAGTGTTCTGAAGGTGGTCAGGTCTTGGCATTCCTCTGCTAGGTGTACTGACCAGTATCCAGCCTTTGCGTCTAGCTTGAAGAATTGAGCTCCTGCGAAGATCGGTTGGATTTCTTCCAAGGTTGGAATTTTGTGTGGACACCTTTTCAAGGCATCGTTCAACCTTCTGGGGTCAAGACATATCCATAAGGATCCATCTTTCTTCACAACGGTGGTCATTGAGCTACACCAATCTGTGTGGTGTTATATCTTTCTGATGACTCCTTGCTTCTCCATGTTATCTAGCTCGGGTTTGATCTTGTCCTTCAGGTGGACACTGCACTTTCTAGGTGCATCTATGGTGGGCTCTGCATCATCTTTCAGATGCAGCATTGCTTTCCCGCTAAAGCTTCCTATGGCATCAAACTGACCTGGGTATGTTTGTTTAAGGTCACTAACAACACATGTGATAGGTGTATGTGTAGGTGTGTCCTTGTGCATTGTGTGGATTGTGATAATCCCAATATCTGTGCAACCTAACAACCCTAAGATAGCTGGTCCATTCACATCTGCTACATAGAATGTATGTGTATACCATTCTGGACTCTTGTATCTACAAGCTATGTCTAATGTACCAACGCATGGTATTGATATCTCGCCATATGCTACTAGCTTTACTGGTGTACGTTTCACTACTTGCCTCCACTTGTCACCACACATTTGTTTGGCTGTGCGTACTGTGATAGTATTAGCGCTTGCCCCAGAGTCTATTTTCAGGTACCGTATTTGCTGGCGTAAAGGCCGCAGTATTTTTGGAAGAGAAAATATCAAAAAGTCGGGGTGCGGCCTTTACGGTCAAAACCAGCAGGAATTTTCACATATGGGACTATGAACGGTAAAATAACTTTACCACTATGGTACAGGGCATTTCCACACATCTTACCGATGTTTGCATTAATGAGCTAATGAGCTATTAATGAGTTGATCACTGTGTGGTCCGATCGTGTGAATGCTGTCAAAATGTACAAAGTTGGATGGACCTGCTGTTGATTGATGATCATGATCTGTGGAAGTATCATGTTTAGTGTCCATTTCGCTAATCGGCTTATACTTTCGACCCTTTGATTTCGATCGTGATTTGTTTCCGTGCTTCGGTTTACGGTCATCAGATTTCTGGTCATCTGATTTACGATCTGGTTTACGACTGCGATCGTTCTTAGCCTTTCTACAGAACTTAGCCCAATAGCCCTTTGTGTCACAGGCACGACACACATCTTCATACGCAGGGCACTGACGAGGTTTGTGGATACGTCCGCAGTTTCCACATGTCTTTCGTCCCTGGTTCCGCTTCAAGAATGAATCTATGTTTTCTTTCGTCGGATCAAGCGTTTCTAGGCATTTTCTGCTCGCCGCAACTGCCTCGTATTTTCGACCCTCTACTAGAATTGCTTCGATTTTATATCCCTTATGCCTCGTTGACACTTGCCCGCATTTTGGTCCCGCACTGCCCCGCTCTGTGGCGTGCCAATGCGTACCAATTAGTGGCACGCAGGGTCACGTATAATTTACGAAAAGTTCACGCAATGCGTAACCACCAGGACACGCATTCGTAGACTATGCGCATAGCATGCGAAAACTGCGCAGGAAGTATGCGCAGCCAATGCGCAAATTGTTCGCAAATTAGTCGTTAACTAGTCGTGAACATGCGTGCCACTAGGCCATCGGACACGCATCGGCGCACACATTGTTTTTTGTAAAGATTTAAATAACACGCGCTTCAACCAACCTTAAAATTAACTTGGCACACAGGACATTTGTGGCTGGCACAATAGGGATTAGCACTGTGGCACTGGGTGCATTGTATGGGTGGCAGCTTAAGAGTTAAAAAACCTCATTGTACTATAAATTAAACCTACCTTCTGATGTAGGTTGTTCAGATTCCTTGTCTCCATCAGTACTTGACACAGGATCATGGGTTGTACTACCCACTTCATGATTGATTTTACCTGAAATAAATCATTAGTGTCGGATTATTTAAAATCAGTCTTTCGTTATTAAATGTTAGTGCAGTTCATAAAGTTCCATCTGTACGTGTACAAGGAGATCACAGCAAACAAAACACATTCATTGGTCCATTTCTATACTTACAAATACGGCAGTCACACCCTCAATGGAAAAGAATTAGTAAGTTTTAAATTGCTGTTGAGGCGATTTATTAGGTATCTTTAGTATTCATGCTTCATGCATCATGCATTTTGCAGTGTTTTACACGATCCCACATCTTCACCTCAGCTATTCATATTGTATAAAGGCGCGGCATGAATTTGTGAAACATTCATAGCACTGTGTCCATTGACGAGGGCCAAGCTAGCTAAGCGTGGCGTGACATGCATAGACGAACTTGGTATCTAGTATTTGTCACTGTACTGATCATTGAGCGATCGCGAGTGCAAGATTTGTTGGCAAAAGTTCGAGTTCGGATACATGTTCATTTTCCCATTAATTTTAAATCATGACAGATTGTTTTTGAGTGTGTGTGTTTCCGTGTTTTTGGAGTTCAGTTTTAAGCCTCTTTTCATGAACATGATTATATATGTCTTCATCAAAACAATTAAATGAAACCGCCCATATATAATAATTAAACGTTTAGCAAAAGAAACCTTAAAGACTCAGGCATACTTTGTATACAGGTTTCACTGGAATATCAATTCAAGTAATACCTTCTAGACTTGATGGAACACCTTCCTCTTCACTTTCTCCTGTAAGTTCTTGCTTGATGTTGGTTTTGAGGGCTAACTGATCGATTTCCTCTCCACTCCCACATGTGGTTGGAAAGGCCTCTGCTTCTTTCTTGATGAGAATTTTTATGACTGATGGAATGAATTCATTCATGGGTGACAGGTAATGAACGGCATTGCTATCAACCTCTTGCTTGATGAGAACTCCTTCAACAAATTGAATTGTTTCTGTTGAGCTCCTATTTGGAGTTGGCAAAGTATGTAAAGTCCAACTCTCTGCTTTTTGCATAATGTGTTCTGGGACTGATGGGGCAGATTCATCTACACTCTGTTCAGTATGTCGCAGAGAGTTGGAGGTCTTACTTTCCATTTCTTGCCTGTTAGTATGTCCTAGGGCTGTTTCTATGCACATATCTGTAAAATGCAGTGAACTCAAGGTCCTACTCTGAACTTCTTGCTTGACATTATCTTCTGGGACTGACTGAACACCTTCTGCAGCACTCCTATCCATTGTTCTGAGAGGATTTGATGCCCCTCTCTCTGCTACTTGCTTGATCATATCTTCTGGGACTAAATGGGCACTTTCTGCTGCACTCCTATCCGTTGTTCTGAGAGGATTTGATGCCCCTCTCTCTGCTACTTGCTTGATCATATCTTCTGGGACTAAATGGACACTTTCTGCTACACTCCTATATGTGGTCTGGTGATGATCAAGTGTCCCTCTCTCCATTTCTTGCTTGATTTCTGGGAATGACTGGACAGTCTCTGCTGCTCTCAGATCTGCAGGCTGCACTGAATTCAAAGTCCTCACATCTGCTTCTTGCTTTAAGCCTACATTCCCTAAAAATAGCGAGAAAACAAAGGTGTTTTACAGCATATTCTTGCAAATGGAACAACATTAAAGATTATAAAGCAAAGCTTTCTTGTGAGAAATCAATCATACTCTGAGCACTACCAATATATTGAAAATGTATAGTAGTAGAACGTAGTGGAAGAAGTAGTAGAAGTAGTAGTAGTAGTAGTACAATTAGTAGTAGTAGTAGTAGTAGTAATAGTAGTGGTAGTTATATTGGTAGTAGTAGTAGTTGTAGTAGTAGTAGTAGAAGTAGTAGTAGTATTGGTACTAATAGTGGTAGTAATAGTGGTAGTAGTAGTAGTAGTAGTGTTTTACACAGCATTAAAGCAAATACATAAGAAATCAGAAAAAGACGATAAACATGTAAAGATGAACATAATTCAACCACTGGAATGCCAGGGACAGATTTAGTTATTCTACATAGTTATGTAATAACTCTGACATAAAGTCTTCTGTCCCAGTTTCAGTGGATGTTAACATAAAATGATGATAAAATACACAACATACATAAAGTTGGACGTCCTGACTTTTTACAAGAACATGTAATATAAAACCACAATTTCACATCATCCACATAGGTTGGAATCGAACCCAAAATTTTTTTTGGTTTAAAGGAATAGTTGATTTCTGTTTTCAGACCGCAAATGCCTTCAAAGTGCATGATTATTGCTTTTATTCTTATATATGACATTTCTAGTGCCTTTTTAGAACCTAAAATTGCTATGAAGGTAATTTTAGATCCCAAAATGTGTAAAATTTAGCCAAGACGCTCATACCAATACAGCTCCACTTTCAACAAATTAACGGTGACCGTTAATTTATTATTTAATTAAAAATAACAATACATGAGCCGGTTGGTGGTGCGTAATATAACCATCACGAACATGTCCAAAAAAAAAGCCAACACCGGCATTGACTGAAATACGACGTAAAAGGCGCCCTTTCATGTTTTCAATGGCTTGTTCAAATTATCTAATATTTGTGGTGGTACACAAGTATTAGAATTCGTTATAATTATGGATATTTCAATGGTCTCTGAACCGATTTTGATCAAAGACGATTTTGTCATTTAAATTGTATGTTCTTTCACCACGCCTCCTTGAACACCCTGATGCATATACAGTGAATGATTATAGATTTAATAGAGGGAACAACATTCCTGTTCGAAAACAAGCAGGCTACTACACACCTACACACCCCATTTGCCCCACTCTTGCATGTAAAACACACTTGCAGGTACGGTAAGTCAGTGGGTATGTCATTTCTGACTGCATTATTTCATCAAAGATATATGGGTTAAGATTCTCAGCCTCCTGTTAAATTGCTCCAAAGTAATTTCCTACACTATTAAAATTCACAACTTCAACACTTGAACCAGGACTAGGCCTATATGATAACTAACCCCAAACCTAGTACTATATTGGCTTTCTCTCTCTGTTTTGTCCCTCCATGGCTCGATTTCAGGATTGCGGCTTGCAATTTCCGTATTTGTGTGGGTACGATGTGTACTTGTGCGACCAATTCAACTGGTGTGATGTCAGTGCTGAGTGTACAGTAACCTAGGCATTTGTTGTTTAAATCCCATTTTTGGGGTGATTTCCTGGAATTCATTGTGGCATAACTCTCTTATTTTGTTATGTAACATCTGAAGCTACTGCAGGATAGTATTTCATGGATTAATTGTGAAGGATTGCATGGATTTTTTTGGATTGCCTTTTTACATGGAATGGCCTCAGGTAGACAGTGCTTCTAGCTCGGTCCCATACATGCATCCTTGCATCATGTTGAATTCATATTCAAGATGGACAATGGGTCTACATTACAGGTTTTTGTAGTGTTACTCTGCTTTATTTTTTATTTTGATTTTGCTTTTACTTGGTTGGATGTGGATTATTCTACTCTTTGAATTTTTTAATTGGTCTACTATATTTGATTGATATACAAACAATGCAATGTGACTTGTGGCATTGTGCTACAATTACACAATCCTTGATAGCTGGATGAGGACTTCACTTTTCAGCCGTACTTGCTCTTGCCATCATGTCAAGCCCCATAGACTATTTCTACTGGCTCTTCCTGGCTTCAGCAATTGTTAGTATTCATTATGACCATCCGATACTTGAGCCCTACACAGAGAAGCAGGACTTTATCTTTCAAGAACTGAAAGGGCTTCAACACGCTTTCAGCCCTTCGACTACCACCATCAGTTGGCTTCAGGAAAGTCTTCATTGGTCAGCATGTGCATCAAGTCGAAGAATAAGAAGATGTACTAACACTGCACCTAAGCATGGAAAGAAACACACCTTGCTGTATCTTACTTTTGTGCTACTCTCTATTGCTTCAGATGTTGAACTAAATCCTGGACCAAGAGCTTTAAAATATCCTTGCCAGATATGTTCTCGAGCAGTTACCTGGAACCAACGTGGGGTTGCTTGCAACGATTGTGATGGGTGGTATCATGTTCAGTGCATGGGCATGACAACACAGGTGTACGAGGCCCTTAATGATCCCAATGTCTCATGGCACTGTGTTAAATGTGGCCTCCCACAGTTCTCAAGCAGTCTTTTTGATCATACTCACCTTGAAACGTCCAACACCTTTGAAACGCTGGATCTCTCAACTGACAACACCACCGGCTATAGTGGTAGTGATGCCGAGCAGGACACTATCAGCAGCTCTTCCTCTTCCACTGCGAGTTTTGGCCCACCACAGCACACTTCCTCACCCACAAAGCGCAGGAAGAAGGGATCCAAGCAAGAACAACAACTTCGTAGCATGAAAGTCCTTAATGTAAACTTCCAGAGTATAAGGAACAAGAAGGAGGAATTGGCTGTTCTTATAGAATCAACAAAACCCAGTATCATCATTGGGACGGAAACCTGGCTCAACAGCTCAATTTTCACCTCAGAGATTTTCCCGCCTAGCTACAGCGTAGTGCGAAAAGACCGCGTGGGTGGTCATGGTGGAGTCCTACTGGCAGTAAGAAGTGACTTAACATATAACACCTTGCAAATACAAGACGAAGGAGAACATGTATACATCAAGTTGTCATTCGGAAAAGATGTAAGCCTGATTGTGGGAGCCCTGTATCGCCCTCCCAACAGCGACACGCAATACATGGATAAGATCTGTTCTACGATCGAAGAACTCTCTGTCCAGAACAGAAAGGCAGTCTTGTGGATAGGTGGTGACTTCAACTTACCAGACATTAATTGGGAAGACTTAAGTGTTGGTGGTCACAGTAACCCAGCTTCTATCAACAATCGATTCCTAGACATGATCCAGAACTGCAACTTACAACAGATGGTTACCTTTCCAACACGAGGAGATAATGTACTTGATCTCTTCTTAACCAACAGACCAACGCTGATCAACAAATGTTCTCTACTACCTGGTCTTGGTGATCATGACATTGTTGGTGTAGATTCAGATGTAACAGCGAAAAGGAGTAAGCCGGTGAAAAGAAAAATCTACCTATGGAAGAAAGCCAATCTGCTGGGAATGAAACAGGACTGCCGTCAGTTTCAGCAAGAGTTTGTGCACAAATATACTGAACGGAGCTCAGTTGATGAGATGTGGAACTGTTTCAAGATCAGCCTGCTAAACATGATGGACAGCCACGTACCAGCGAAAATGACATCCACTCGCTTTAGTCAGCCATGGGTCACAAGGTCGGTGAAACGGTCATCAAGGAGGAAAAAGCGGGCCTTCAATCATGCCTTAGCGACTGACAGACAGGAGGATTTCAACAGATACCGTGAGATCAAGAAATTTGATTCGGTTTATTGAAATAAAAGAAACATGCAGCTGGGAAGCTGAAATAATTCAATTTACAAAGTCAATATACAAACACAATAAACGAACAAAATATGAATGACTAAAACGTACGACTATAAATTATGCAAATTGAGAATCAAATATTACATCAAAATCTAAATATATTACAAAAATTAAATCAAAATCTTAATATATTACGAATATTACATCAAACTCGAGATATATTACAAATATTACGTTAAAATTCAAATATATTACAAATATTATAAACATTAAAAAAACCTTAAAAACCGTCTGTGTCATCAAAAAAAAGGGGGAGAGAGAGAGAGAGAACTAGAAATGTATTGTGTGAAGAAAGAAGAACGAGGGAAAAGGTGATAATAGCTGAGGAAAGGGGTAAGAAAAGAGAAAGAAAAAAGAAAAAGATGAGGACCTTACATACTTATCAAATAATGATTAACAGAGCTACCTTTAATATTTCCGAATTGAGAAGGATCTATGTGGGATTTCAAATCTGACATTATCCAGTCCGCCAAAAAACTCTCAAAGACTCTAGCAAAAACAGAAGTGATGGATATCGGGCGGAGTTGAGAAAATTCAGACGCTCGAGGAACCTTCGGGATTGCACACACTGAGGCATTCTTCCATTTTCGGGGAAAGCATCCGGAGCGTAGACAATGGTTGAAGATCTTGGTAAGGGGCGCTGAAAGTTCTAAGGCAAACTCTTTAACTAAACGAACGGGAATATCATGCGGATGAGCGGCCTTCGAAGCATTGAGACGCTTGAGACGAGCATACACTTCATTATCCCGGATCACAGGGGGTGATGATGGCGCCGGAAGGTACGCAGGTAAAGTTGACAAATTCAAAGGAGGTAACTGCGTACATATACCAGTGAAATATGAATTCAAATCATCAGCTACTTGTTGAGGAGATTTTTCACTTGAAAATTTCAATCAACTCAAGCAGCCTGCAAACAAGCTTACAGTGAATACATCAACAACATAATCAGCCCTGACTCCAAGGAAAACCCCAAGCGAAGGTTTCATCAACAGTAAGAGGAACGACCGTACTGGAGTAGCCCCACTGAAAGACACCAATGGGATTACACAATCAGGCAGCAAGGAGAAGGCCAACATGCTGAATCACCAGTTTGCATCAGTGTTTAACAGGAATGAGGACATGTCAACCATGAAGGATAAAGGAC